AAACTTGACCCGGTTGTTCTACTCCTGGGCCTGGGTCACCTAAAGGTGTAAAATATTACATATGCTCTTTAGCGCCCCCTAAATACCGAGCTAAAGCTTTTCATGGGGAGCCAAACCAACGGATCAATATCACAAATATTGGTCTATGGCTACGGAAGCAAATCATGGCGCGGCGGCGGCGCCACCTGCGGAGCGGCGAGTCACGCAGGGAGTCACGGGAAGGGGAATCGCGAGTTGCGCGGTACGGGGAATCGTAGCTGTGCCGGGAGTCGTAGCTGTGCTGGGAGTCGTAGCGGAGCGGAGAGTCGTAGAAGCGCACGGTGCAGGGAGTTGTAGCGGAGCGGGCAGTCGTAGCGGCGCGCGGTGCGGGGAGTCGTAGCGGTGCGCAGTGCTGGGAGTCGCAGCGGAGCGTGGTGCAGGGAATTGTAGCTTAGCGGGGTGTCGCAGCGGAGCGGCGAGTCGTAGCGGAGCGGCAAGTCGTAGCAGAGCGGGAAGGCGCGCGGTGTGTCGCGTGGTGTGGCGAGGGCCGTTTGACGCCGCTTGCGGCTTTAATTGGTTTATTAATTTTTGTATACTATAGACTAGGGCTGGGCGATATGGCAAAAAAGTATAATCTTGTTTTTATTTTTTGCTTTGGACGATTTCGATTTTAAATCGATTTTCATTAAAGTTTGCCCTTTTTTGTTGTTGTTGATCTTTCTGCTCAATATTCAAGTTTCAAAAAATGTTTTAATTTGTTACCCCCAATACATTTTATATAAGTCTTGTACAGAAATTATTTGCAAGTATAATTCATGTGCTGCTGGAACTCTCACAATATCCTTCATTCAATTTCACGATTTTCACATTTTTCACAAATTAGATTTTTTCAAAAGCCCAGCCCTACTATAGACATCTGGTGAATTCCATTACTATTTGAAAACACATGATAACTTGATACTTTTAGGGTTTTGGGACGTTTTCCCACAATATTTAAAAACCTGCATCTGGAAAAAAAAATCACCGACTGGTTCTTTAAAGTATTAGTGCTCTCGGTTAAAGTAGGGGTTGTTTTAGTTTAATCATGAGAAATAAACTATTTGAGACTTTGGGAGCCATAGGTTGAGCCCCCTGATTGACAGTATATATCCAGACCAGTTCAAACCATATCTCTCTCTCTATTGGCCCAGACAGATGGTGTATCCACTCCAAACTGTGTTCTGGAGGTCGTCTGTTATCAACAAATCAAATTTGATGTCCCGGTTTTGTGTGAACGCTCCGGTCTGTGCTCAGAGCAGTGCAAATAATATTCAGGGACAAATAATTAACTTAATGTTGATAATTAACAGTAAGATTAAGATTAGGAGCACGGCACAAGATTAATGAACAATAACTCTACAATAAAACTAAATAAAATCTATAGCTTTAGCATAATAAAGAAGCTAGTATAAAATCTCTACCTTTACTATAATAAAGAAGCTATAACATTTGTAGCTTTAGCATAATAAAGAAGCAGGTCTAAATCTGCTTAATAATGAAGCAAGTATTATTTATAACATCTCTGAGGCAGACTGTAGCATAATAAACAAGTATAAAATGTCTAACTTTGGCAAAATAGCTACATTTATAGTATGTTTACATCTGTACATGTGTTCAGTACGAGGGTCTGGGACAAAGTGACTGGATTATATCAATCAATCAATATTTATTTAAATAGCGGTTTTCCCACACAAGGCAACACAAAGTACTTCACAATCACACAAAGCATATAACACTTAAAACACCATTAAAAAGACAATGAATTAAAACCATTCAGAAAACAGGGTATTATTGCACACTCATCTCTGAGGTCCAACATTTTATATTTTTCCATGAGGTTTCGGCTTTATGCCTTCATCAGATCATGTTCTTTTTCTTTTGTTTTGACGACAAAATACAAAGTGGTTTTCTGAAATATTGATTCTCGCATCTGCATCTTATTCATTATTTTTTGTTTTTAGTGAAAGGTTGGGGAGTGCAGGGTTAATTTGGTCTAACATGTTTAAGCTGAAACATTTACCCATAATCCCCTGAGGCATGTTCTGGCTCCTTCTGAAGCTTCTACTTCTGCACATGGCGGTTATGTCTGTTCTGAGTAACTTTAAGATTAAGAACGTTTTTAATTGTCCCACAGTCGGGAAATTTCATGTTATAGGACAGTAGGAATGAGAAGCACACAGCACAAGGTAAATTAACAATAACGCTGTACTCAATTCGGGCGTTCTGCTCTCCCAAAATTTCATCCACTGAGCAGCGCTGTGATCAAAAAATGACACCGTTTGTTGCCCAGTTCACTTCCGGTTGATTTCATACAATGGCGAATATGGCTCACGAAAACAACAAACGATTGACAGTGCCTGAATTGCGTGAAAGGTTGAAGCGAAAGGGTATTTGCAGTGTGGGAAAACGAAAGGAGGAATTGTTGTTGCTAGTTCAACGAGCGGATGGTGTTTATGAAGATTTAGAAGAAGATGACAGCGAGCAGAGTGAACGAAAACGGCTGTGTGTGCGAGTGACAGATGGTAACAATGAGAATGAAGTTCTCATTCATGAAGTTCTCATTCATGAAGTTCTCATTCATGAAGTTCTCATTCATGAAGTTCTCATTCATGAAGTTCTCATTCATGAAGATCGACAATTAGCGGCGGCACACTTGAAGCCCATGATAAAACCGATTCAACAGAAAATGACGAAAACACTCAACCATTTAGAGAAAATGCGCCGGGCAGAGAGAACCGGAAGTTGCGAAGGCAAGTGTTACCCATAATGCAACGCAAAATTCAGTCGCTCCCCCGCCCATCGAATGGAATTTTGGGAGAGCAGAACGCCCGAATTCAATTAATGGTATTATTGTATCGCCCTAAATCACAACAGTTGTTATCTCGAAGGACTTCATTAAACTGTTGATTTTGCCAACACAGATCGGAGAATCAAACTTTTCAAACACATTGAGCCATTGGTCCATAACACTCAGACGACCAAGGTCCATAAATCTTGTTGAATGTCGAGTTTCATGGATCATCACCACTGTCCATAGACCCTCCTACATCAGGCAAGAAAAAAACTCTACAAGTCCAGTGGGGAAAAACAAACCCAGCCCGTTGGTCTGTGAGAGCGGATCTCTCCCTCAAAGTGGGCCTCCCCGAGTTTCTCACTTTATTATTCAAGTTTTTTCTTGACGATGCAGGAGGGTCTAGAATTTAGATCATTTACGGAATCGGAATAAAACTATGGAATGTCCAGACTTACGGGATATCGGAGAAATTTAGTTTTAATGAGGCACAAGTTTCATGGCTCCAAAAACAGTTTCCATTCCACATTCAACGCTGTTTTCCACGAAATAGCAGCACAGTGAAAAAACAGTTGAGCCTAAACCCGGGTCAGCTTCCACATTACACTCACTGGTTCCCCCTACTGTCATTGAAAGGAACTGCACTTTACCTGGCCCCACCCAAACACACACAAAAGCATAGGTGCCTACCAAAACAAAATAAATAACTCTGAAACAGATTCTCTTAATGGGAAATAAAACGGCCTTTAACTGTGTCTCCGGCCCTTATGGACCAATGGCTCTATGTGTTTGAACTGTTTGATTCTCTTTTCTGTGTTGGCAAATTCAACGGTTCAAAGTCTAGTATTTAGGGCAATACAAGAATGATTTGGACAATGAGTTTCTACCACTGTCCAGACTGTAGCAGCTTCTAAACAATCAGATTTACTGGTGTCACTCTAATTCTTCCAAACTGAATGTATTATAAGAAGTAAATTCTTCCCTCGAGGTGAAAGTGCTTTAAAACGTACTTCTTAAAGGACCTAATCCCATGTGTGTCCCATGACCTCAGTAGTGATGGGGGCGGCTCCATGTGCAGAGCCTTCTCTCCAAACACTTATTTTCAACCGTTTGTTGATTCAACTTGTGATATTTCTATGTGTGCTTCAGTAAATCTGTGTGAGCGGGACACCACCTGACCATCATCTTATCAGTTTTTACACTATATCATGATCCCAGTCAAAACCTTCTCACATCACATTACTAAGTATTTCTCAAATATATGGTAGGTTTGTAGTGGACCTCATGCCGTTAATGTTTTTCTATATACAATGGAAAGGAAAAATAGTTTTGAATGATTTTTGCACACTTTCTGTAAATGATACAAACTTTTTTTCTCAAACATCAATGCATTTGTCTCCTTTTATGATCCTTTTGAAATTTGTGATCCTAGCCTGGCCTTATCCATACATCCATACACTCCGCTGAATTATCATTTCCTGCATGTAACGTCTTTGTCTGGTCCCTGTGTTTGCGATTGCAATCGGTTGAATTCCATCCGACCAATCAGAGTGCCGGAGGCGGGTGTTTTAGTTAGATGTGGTTGACGTCAAGAGTTGGCACCGAACAGGCAGGTTGTAGTTTGGCAATGGCTAAGAATGCCATAGTAAAGTATTCCGGCCTGGTTCTATCAAGAAACTGAAGCCGGAGCAAGAGGAATGTAGCAAAAGTCAGTGCTGGCAAAGATGGTGGCGCTACTCTCCACGTGCTCCGTTAGCGGCAAAGGAGATGGCTAAAGCTAGGCTAAATGCTAACGACTCACTCGGGCGCAATACAAACTCAGATCCAATCGTTTCAATCTGCAAAAGGAGGTAGCCCCTCCCACCTGTTAACGGAGTTCAATTGAGCACCTCCAGACCTTTAGTACGAAATGAAATTTGTACTATGGTGTGGTACGGCCAGGCTAGTGTGATCCAAACAATGATTTATAAAGAAAAATCTTAAGGTTTAGGGGAGCCCAAACTTTTTCATACCACTATATAATGATTATTGACCTATATTCAACCAAGAAAGTCCGGTTGAGATTTCAGATCCTCTTTCTTTATGGTTGTCCTGGCCCCAGACCGAGGACTGGAGTCATGGAGGGAGTTTGGGGAGACTTTTTACAGACTTCAGTGAACCCAGAATCACCAGGCTTGTCTTTGTGCTGCAGTATTTCCAGGGCCGCCTGAACACCACAGAATGGAGCAATGGGACGTCTGAGGTGAGAAAAGAGTACTACTTCAACAACTGGATGACTCTGCTCTCCCAGCTGCCCCTGCTGCTCTTCACGCTGCTCAACTCCTTCCTGTACCAGAGGTTTGCACACGCTCCACTCTCTCATACTAATGTGTCAGGGCTAATGTTTTAGGTAATGGATATGTTAGCTTGGCAAACAGATTCTCAAACTAACAGGAGCACACCAGACTGGGGCCCCGTTTAGACTGAGATGTCGCTATGACCCTCACCTCCCCGCTGCTTCCCCCATGTACATTGGGAAATGCGCAGTAGAACAAACAGTTGGCGGCGCATACTATGATGTTGGTGCATACTTTCACGTCTTTGCGGGGCTCACATGTGTCGTGGTATAAAGTTCCTCTGCCCACTACTGGCCGGGCGCTAGAACTACATCGTTTTTGATCCTCGTAGGAACGCTGTGAAATTTGCATAAGGAGCCCGGTCATTTCTGTTAATAGTTTGGAAACGTCTGCGCAGCGCCTCCATATAAAAGGGGCCTGGAACTGGTTTGGGGCACAGTGATCATTGTTTCAGATGTATCTTTAATAAAGTATTTAATTGCACTAAACACAACAAATTATTTCAAAGCTATTATTTATTTAATGCTAACAACAACATTCTTGCATGTATTTGAATTATGTTTATGTAGTGGGAGTCTACAAGATCTTACTTCATTCCCGCCCCATTTCGAGCTGACAAATTGTAAATAGACCATCCATCCATCCATCCTGACCCTCTGCAGGTGGTGAGTCCACAGGAGGACGGCTGCTCTCTGAGTGTGAGCCTTGATCTTTCAGTGGGGGCTTTGGGCAAAGTGGGGTTAAGTGTCTTGCAGACACTTAAATTCACGCGTTGTAAATAGACGTTCATTTGTAAATACATATCGATATTGTAACACATGGTGAAACTAGGATGATTATTGTTGCTTGATTGTATAGTTATGTTTATATATTTGCATTTATAAGTATATACAGTAAGCACAGAAGGCAACATGTATAAAAAATCATGTAAACTAAGGAATGTAAATATTCAAAATACTTTAATTCATTTTCAACCCCTTTATTAGTCCATTTCTAAGTCGGGGGGTGGCAATGTAGCCTGACTCTCGCCAGACCCATGTAGTTTGCTGCACTTCACACATGCGTCTGGGCCTCCTCCATAGCAATTGGATTTCAGAAGGCGGGCCTTCTAAAAAAAAATCCTTGTATGTGATTGGATAAACCACTTGTCCGGTATCTTGAATGACGTGTTCCTTCAACCACTCACATCGAAGCACACGACTCCCATGGGTTGCCAAATGCCGGCAAGATTTTCAAGCCCAAAACCCACGAGAATGCCCAATAAAAACCACCCAGAATGATTTTTTGGCTAAAAACTTAATGTAATCAACTTGGGCTATCATGATTCTGTTTGTCTTTTTGTTTATTTATTACCTACAAGTCTCTTGAAGAAAAGTATGCGGGAAACCTGGCAACCCTGCTGCGTAGTGAACAGGAACACTTAAACCAAACTTTACACGAACATTTGACTCTTAAAACACACATATAACAACATGGAACCATCAACATCTCGCCTCATATTGCATTAAAAGTGACATCCGTGTCTTAATTCGTTCATCTTGGATTGCTTTCGCTGGTGCGTGAGACACGCTTGAGAAGGCGATGCAAACTTGACGTAACACCGGCGATCCTGATTGGTCGATTATTTTCTGATCTGCTGAAGTAGTTTGGTACGTGCTCGATACCAGACCCATGTGGTTCAGCCAAACGCCTCTGGTGGAGCATGGCGGAACTACAAGGGTCTGGCGAGAGATAGGCTAGTAGCAATGAGAGATGCCACCCAATGCTCATAGCACCAGTCCCTCGCTGATCCTCTGCAGGTGGTGAGTCCACAGGAAGATGGCTTCTCCGCCAGCGGTGAAACAGCCTTGGTCTTTCAGCGGGGGCTTCAGGCAACGTGGGGTTAAGTGTCTTGCCCAAGGACACAACGGCAGTAGACATTTGTGAGAGCAGTTGGAGTAGGTCCCATGGTGGGCGCGAACCCATGACCTCCAAGCCCAAAGGCCAATCCTCTACCAACTGAGCTATTGCAAATACTTATGATCGTAAAATTTCTGCTTGAATGAAAAAAAGCAGTCAATTAAGACCATTTTCTCAGGTCCTCAGGTTAAAGCGGCAAATATACAATTCCTCAGCTTGACTATAATTGGAAATGTACTGGAAATATTTTGCCCCTTTGCAACAATTGAAGTGCTCCTGCTTGGAGTGAAAACCTGCAGCCACACCCGCCCTTTGAGGATCAGTTTGATTTTTATCTTTAGTACCAGACACTTTTGTCAATCACAGGAGACATGAAGAGAGATAGGACAAAACTAACAAAATTTTTTACTTTAATACAGAAGAAGAAAGAAGCTGGAACAGTATTTTTTAAAGGCAAAAGCTGTCATTCATCCGACACCGAGCCCATCATTCCGTTCATGATTTATTTATTATTTGGAGGTTTTAGTGCACAAGGTCAGTCCCCTGGCTCTAAACGACCTCAGAGAATCAAAGTGGTCATAAATAAAACCACACACCTTTTATATATATATAATGTTTCATAAGATTACACTCTGAAATGTTTTCCCTTGCCCTAAAGAAGCAAAATGCCTCTCTGTGTTTTCTCTTGGGCACTTTAAGGCTCGGACGCATTCAGTCTGGACCCAGTTTTTCTCATTAACTTAAGTGGGTCCTTGAATCAATGGTGCGAGACAAGTGTAGTGTCAGCTAATCATATAATGACCTTGAGTTAGTGATTTTCTAGAATGTTCATTACACTAGACTGAGTTGGAGTTAATAACAGTCCCTTCTGAAAGGCTATTTCTGTCTTGTTCACGATTCAGTGTCTGTTATTGCAATAATTAAATTCATAAAATCTTAAGCTTTAGCATTTTAAACTCGGGGTGCACAGATGGTTGGGTTGATACCAATAGTCTTGTACTCATACCATAAGACCCAATGCAGACAACTGATACCCACATTTTTAATATACGTTACCGTGTCACATCAGAGAATGAGAAAGCGCTTGCTGCTAGCTTATCTTAGCTTAGCCGCTAGCTTAGCGGGCAGCGAACAGTATGTCGGCAGTGTTATAAAGTAAACGAGTGACAAGATTAAAGCGGACTGTACGTTGTGTAAAACTATCACAAGGTCCAAAACAAACACGTAAAACACCAGCAACTCACCATCACAGAGTATAGCATCTTTGCTAACACTATGTGTATGAAATATGACGGTGGCTCTGAGGCCCCGTATATACGGAGGCGCTGCGCAGACGTTGTTATTAACAGAAACGACCAAGCTTTATATGCACATTTCACAGCGTTCATACGAGGATCAAAAATTATGTAGTTCTAGCGCCCGGCCAGTAGGAGGCAGAGGAATTGGTATCCTAACAGAAGCAAGTATAAAATATTTAGCTTTAACTTATGTGTGTGTGTTTGTCAAATGGCAGGATCTCAGAGATGGTGCGCATTGCAGGCAGCCTGGTCTTCATCCTCATCCTCTTCCTCATCACTGCGGTGGTCGTCAAAGTGCCCATGGAGGAGGACCGCTTCTTCTCCGTCACTATGGCTACCATCTGGTTCATTAATTGTGAGCTCATTTGCAAAACATCTTTAGATAGGTAGTTTATAGGAGCAGTATGTTAAAATGTGGCCAAAAGTGGTACTGCAGCCTCTCCAACTCTCCCTGACTCAGGTTGCCAGATATGCAGACAAATCCAGCTGGGACCATTACAGCTGAATAGACAAGAGTTTTGTCAACAACAAATCTATAACCAACAGCTTTTTCACAAAGATAGAAATCCTGGTTTTATTCCTTGTTTTGTCGTTAATGATTTTAGAATCATAACAAGACCTTTTTTAGTTCTGCGCCACATGGTACTTTACCAGTGAGATTAGCTCCATGCGGTGAGTTCTGGCGTCCGGATCACGAACTTTCTGATTGGTGAAACGGTGGAGGGCGGGACATCGAAATGAAAACAAGATTTAGGTGCTGTAAAAGTAATTTAGAAATTCAAAAATCTCCTGAACTACTGTTATCAGTTAAAGAAGTATTGGAAAAGAGAAGTTTATTATTATGACAGATTATGACCCTTTAATGATGACTTGACATGAAAATCTTACATATTGCTTCTTTTACTGTATTTAGGTAATTCAAATAAGAAAAAGGAGGATCTTATTGATGTGGGTAAATTTTCCAATCAGATGGAGCCTTGTAGGAAAATGATCTTCCATGTTCTGTGTTTTAAATCTCCTGTCCCATAATTACTAAAACTGTCTGTCCCTTGAGCTTGTAGTGAACTGATCCTGAGTCAGTGGATGAGGATCACAGAATAAAGTTTGTGGTTCCCTTCCCTCAGCGTTTGGTGCCGTGCTCCAGGGCAGTCTGTTCGGTCTGGTGGGTCTGCTGCCTCAGAAGTACAGCGCCATCTTCATGAGCGGACAGGGCCTCGCCGGGACCTTCGCCGCCGTGGCCATGCTGCTTGCCATAGCCAGTGAGAGACACACACGCACAAATCTTCACATATCGCAATACAGACAGTATTGTGATTCGATTCTGAGATATATCGTGATTCGATTCTGAGATATATCGTGATTCATGACCCTCATATTGTTTAAAAGCATTACAAAAAATGAGGAAAATAAGGCCCTGTCCCAATACCCACAATGCACCCTACACTCCTCTTAATTTGAGATAGCTGTATAATTTTAAGTTAAATGTGGGTAACTAACTGTTATCTGGTAAGTTTTTATACATCCTAAGTTTATTGTACTAAGTGTAAGGTTTAAATTGAATGTTAAAACACAATGTCCGTAATTCTTCATCAGACATTTATGCTTCTTTCCAAGTCACACAGCAAAACTTATTTACACACATACAGCATGTATATTTCAAAACTTACACTTAAATGCATTTTCCTGACATTTTTGTGTGTACCGCAAAGAATTATGGGCAATATCCTTCGCCAGAGTCTGCATAGATGCAGGCTAGATCAGGGGAGCAAAGGGGGCGGGGCCAAAGACCTCCCTGGAGAATTGAGACACCCTACGCACTAGCACCCATCATCGGGAACGCGCAAATGAGGGACGCGAGGGTGGAAGTGCGGGACAGGGCCTAATACTCAATTGTGAAGTGCATAAACATTCTCCTTGAACATTCAGGACACAGGACCTTATTACAGAACACTTTCTTTATCTCTTCTCACATTATTCAAATAGAGTCACAAAAAGCATCATTGAGTCTCAGAAACTTCAGATGGAAATTTCCAGAATAAACTCAGAGAAAATACAAAAGTGAAACAGAAAATTACTTCATGAGATATTGTAATACTTTGCTTACTGTATCGATTTAATTGCGTGTGTACAAAAAATCGCGATACTGAACGTTTTTTTTTTCACCCATGACTATAACAGACACACGCACACACAACGCACAATTATCCCGTTGCCGAGTAACGCGCCACAGTCAATTTGTCACGTTTGTTGTGTCGCCCACGCTGAGAACATCTGAATGTTGCACACGGCGACACACACAGACACACACGCACACACAGATATAGACACACACATACACACACAGAACAACATAAGCCTTGTTTTCTCTTTGCTCCATTCAAACTCATGACTTCAGAGACTGGTCGTGTTCAGTCTTAAAGCTCCTCTAAAGACTTAAAGGTTTAGTCTTTCATATATTTATCATTTTATATCATTTATTTTTTGGCTAAAGAGTCACTGCATTTATGTACCTGTTTTAGCTAATTCTCTTAAAAAACAATGACATGATTCTAAACACATGAGAATCTTGGATTAAGACAGTGGTTCCCAAAGTGGGGGGCATGGGACAAATGAATTAACAAAAATACAGTTTAAAAAAAAAAAAAAATAAATCTGAAAATACAGTTAGGCTAAATGACAGTGCTAGCATAAGATGGATACATTTCAATCTGCAGTTAGGGCTGAGGTTTGTTTTAATTAGACTTAGACAGACTTTTGTAACAAAAATAAACAATAATAACAACAATACGGGGGCTGCTGTCGCTGTGTCCTTGGGCAAGACACTTAATCCCACTTTGCCTGAAGCCCCCGCTGAATAATCAAGGGTCCTGTGCACTCACCACCTGCAGGAGGATCAGTGAGGGGCTGGTGCTCTGTGTACTGGGTGCTGCTCTGACTGCCACCCCCTCGACCCAGAAATGGATTTAAGGGGAAGAAAATGAATGAATGAAAAATAAACAATTATTTTGTACCAAAGGGGGCCCAGCAGAAAAGGTTTGGGATTAAGATAAAATGAGATGGATTTAACTAATCTCAAAATGGAGAAATGTACATAATGAAATATAAATGTGTTGTTATTGTCACTTCAATACCAAAACGCCCAGTATGTACATCTGCATTCATAATAAACTAATATATATTTAAAACGGTACTTTTATAACAAAAAGAAGATGGACATATCTCAAATGGTTAAAGGAAGAAGTCTACACCCCAGTAACCCCACCCCTTTTCCATTGTTCTACTTTAACACATCAGTTTTGGCTATATTTACTTACAAAAACACTTTCAAACAGAAAATATCTAAATATTTATTGTTAGTGAAGAAGCAGGAAGTGAACTCAAGTTGAGTTTGCTCTTGTGTTTTCCTCAGGCATGAAAACACAAGAGCAAACCCCAATCTACAACTAATATACAAGATCATGGTAGTAACTTTGTGATTTACTATGAGCAGAAAACAAACTTGTCCATGAGAAACTCTGCTCACTCTGAGTCGGGACAATGTAAAGTTATCAACATTAATGCTTTAGGCGTCAGTGTAAATGCACCGGATTTGGCATAACTGCAACATTTCAGCCGTGTTCCCAAAGCAGGTTCCAAGAAAACATATACAAAAGAAAAAATTAAAACCTCGCACAACAAGACCACACATGAATAAATACAAAACAGACACATAGAAACAAGATAAAACAGTTTTAACCAGCTATAGAACAAGAGACCAAAAGGGTCAGTATGTAAACTATATGGACTTAACTAATCTCAAAATCATGTCTGATTTGTTTTTAACCAATAATTTTGATTTATTTTCATTTTTTCACCTCTAGTTAGGGCTCTGGTTCTATTCATTGTTTTTGACCAGCAAGGAACAAAGCCCAACAGTAAATATATATATATATATATAGCGGGCTCTGTTTGCTTGTTTAATCCCACAGGAACCGGTGTGTAATCATAGACTGTTTACAGATGGACAACGCTTACATGCTAGCTCAATGAAACCCAATAGGGAAGTGCTCATGTAACAACTCGCTGATATGGACTGAAAAGTAAAGTGCTCTAGCTCAGTGACTTTTTTTTATTGTGTGTCTTATGTGAGCTATAAGGATTTACCAAAGAGATGTGACAAAAAGTGATGAAAAATAAGTCAAAAACTGCTTGAATTGAAGTGCCTTACAACAAGATTTTTTCTCTCAGTTTCTCTCTGGTCTCTCGCTTTCTCTCTTTCTCTCTCTGGTCTCTCTCTCTGGTCCCTCTCTCTAGTCCCTCTCTCTGGTCCCTCTCTCTGGTCTCTCTCTCTAGTCCCTCTCTCTAGTCCCTCTCTCTGGTCCCTCTCTCTGGTCCCTCTCTCTGGTCCCTCTCTCTGTTCCCTCTTTCTGGTCTCTCTCTCTGGTCCCCCTCTCTGGTCCCCTTCTCTGGTCCCTCTCTCTGGTCTCTCTCTCTGGTTTCTCTCTGCCTCTCTCCCACATTCTCTGTCTCTCACTCAGCCGTCTCTCGCTCTGCCTCTCTCTGGTCTCTCGCGGTTTCTCTTTCTGGTCTCTCTGGTCTCTCTCTGGTCTTTCTCAGCCTCTCTCCGGTCTCTCTCTAGTCTCTCTCGGCCTCTCTATGGTCTCTCTCGGCCTCTCTCCGGTCTCTCTATGGTCTCTCTCGGCCTCTCTCTGAATTAGTCTGTGTGATCTTCAGGTGAGGCGGACTCTGAGACCGCGGCGTTGGGATACTTCATCACTCCGTGCGTGGGGACCCTGCTGACCCTCTTCAGTTACCTCCTGCTGCCTCGCCTGGTCAGAGCTCTCTCCTCCTTTACCCTCTGATCTCCTCTGAGCCTCTCTCTCAGTCTGTGTGACTCGCCTTTTATTTTATTTTTTTTGCAGGAGTTTGCACAGTTCTACTTGGGCAGAAGCGGAAAGTATGAAGCCGGAACCACAGACGAGCTGCTTAAAGGTGCGTCACTATTAGCTTTTCAACACAACTTCATTAAGTCATCTTTGTGTAATTTTCAAAGCTAAATGTTTCAACTTTCAGAATGCATCGGCAGTCCCTGGACAGTGCCCGGTGTTGTTTAGTCACACTTAGTTATAATGTTGGTTTGGGAGTTCAGGAAGCTTTGAGTGTGGTCTTTGTCTTCTATCAATGTTTCTCTCCACGGTGGGGGCACTGGTTCAGGCTTTATATCCATTTGTTTTAACACACACACACACACACAGTGTAATTGAAAAAGTAGAGACAGGACAAACACATATCTGTCTGTGTGCTCTCTTCACAGTCGCTGGAATCTAATCATTCAGTGTGACATTATCTCATTAAGTTTGTTGACCCTCGTTTATCTGAACAAAGACAGTTCTGTGCAGCGCAGGCCACACACTCAGTCTCTGCCTCCACACGACAGGTCCTGCACTTTCACTGCAAAAAATGACAAAATATGAGGTAATAAATGCTTGAGTGGTTTGTCTTAATTTGAGAACATTCTGACTGTGTTAAAACAGGATTCACCAATGGGACAAAGCCATTTAGAAGAAAAGGGAATACAATTATATAGAGAAAATAAATGAATTAAATGAGTTTATTTTTATTTTTTTTCTCCGTATGGCACTGGCTGTATTCAATTCAAATTCATATAACTTTATTAATCTGTGAGGAACTTCATTTACAGCCAGAGCACCAGCGGGGGATACACAGAAACACAGAATCTAAGTATGAATGCAGTAAAAGAGCAGAAATGCAATATAAAATACATAAAAGCAGGTCTCCAGATCAGCTGTTTAACCCATTGAGGCCAGGAACGCATTCCCGCGTTTCTCCCTTTCAAGCCGGGAGCGCTGTTGCGCACTTCTACCTTTAAGGCCGGGAAAGCGGACACGTCTTTTTTTCTTTTATTGACCTATTCACTTCATTGATCAGTTCTCTGAACCAATGAAATGTATCAAGATATACCTGTGATGAGAATTATCTGCGGATCCGCGAATTCCGACTTTTTCTCGCTGAAAATTTCCTTTCGGTGAAATGCGTGACCGCGGGCAGTTATTTGCGTTACGTACTCGAACAGGATTCAAGCCTAGTGTATACTCGCGCGGCGCGGAGCTTACGGAGGTGACGTCACTTGCGCATCGCGTTGGTCACCGCAAGGCCCTTACGTCGCCTGCCGCGCAGCATCGAAATTTTCTAACTACGTAAGGGTCGCCGCAAGGAATCTCCGCTGTGATTGGTCCGTGTGTGTGTATTGGAAGGAAGCACGGAGCGGCTGCAGCAGGAGCATGGACGAGGCTCTATGGAGCAGAGAGCTTTGTGCTTCGAAGGAAAAGCAGTTTGGGCTCAGAGCCTGATATCCAGGAGACTGTGGACTATCTAACATATATATAACTTATATCTAACATATATATAACTTATATCTAACATATATATAACTTATAAACTGTGCAGTCGTTTGTTTTGCACTGTTCCTGCGTTTGTTGCTTTCCTCCTGCACTCGTGAATCGTTCATGTTTGTCTCAGATATTTACCACTCTTATTGTTTTGCTGTTTGTGCTGAAAACTATTTAATATTTAAAATCTGTTTCCAACAAGAACTGTGTCTTTATTCACAGCATCACAGTTGAAATGACTTATAAAATAATGAATCCATAAAACTATCACATAAACCTGCAGTAGAAACACGTGTAATGAGCTCAAACAGCTTTGTTTGCTATTATTGTTCTGAAGAGGACAAAGTAGCAGCGTAAATGGGACCGCTCCTGTGTGATCGCCCTCATGTGGTTTGTTGTGGGATTACAACATTCTCCTCAAAACTCCGTAAGGGGAACGCGCCAGTATAACATCAATTGTGCTTACGTAGGTCCACCGCAACCGCTAACGTAAGCCACGCCGCGCAAGTATACACTAGGCTTCACATCCTCCGCTCTGACCCCGGGAGCAACAGTGGCTGCTTTGACAGCTCCGCGAACGCGCAGCCACAGGGGTCATGTACCGAGCGCGGACTATAGACGCGCGATCAGGACCGAGGGAGAGACGGGGGAGACGGGCAAGACCCGCACGTGCAGCAAGCTCCCTCCCTCGTCTGTCTCCCGTCTCTCCCTGTCTCTCCCCCATGTCTCTCTCTCGCCTCCCCGAAGTCTCCTGACGAAGCGCAGACTCACTGAAAAATAAAGCTCCGCTACCTACATTTTTGCTTGCATTGACAATGATTGTGACCAAATCAAACAGAACAAACCAAAACAGTCGTGTTTTGTTTATTTTGCTTACTTTAGAAAGAGCCTCGTTAGTCATTTTTTGACTTTTTGGGCTGAGAGGGGATTTTTTATAGTTTTTCCATAGTTGGTGCCACTTAATTGCCAAACTCTTTTTGACTTACTGCATTGATAAACATGTGTTAGTCTCACATTGTTTTTGGTTGTTTTATTACCTTTCCTGTGTGGAAGTTGTATATTCTTCTACTGAAGTTTTATAATAATACACTGTATTCTTATTGAAAGCCACAAGTGTCAGCTCTCAAATTCTTTAAAAATTATGTTTCTATCTGCTACAGAGGCCGAGATACCAATCATGTAGACGTTGAATTTCAGGAAAACTTCAGGTTTTGGAGGGTGGTTCTGAAATCGGCCTCAGGTTTTGCAGGTCTGTTTACCAGGCGATGCAGGCCTTAATGGGTTAAACGACAAATTGAGGTTATGAGGAAGCTGGATGTGGCCCTTTTTGGATTTTAATTGGAGGGACCTGAACCTACGCCCTGATGGGAGCAGACTGTAGTATGAGTGTAGATTTGTTTGACAAAAAAAATCTATCTGTGAATTAAAGCTAACCCAGGCCCTATTTATTTATTTATTATTATCATTATAGGGCCATATTATTATTATTGTTATTGTTATTATTATTATTAATAATTAAGACCATATTCCCAAATTACCTTGAGGTTATACGTTTCCTTAAATGTCCTGGATCATCACAGTCCTTAGACCCTCCTCCATCTGCAAAGAACAACTGAACAATGAAATGGACCTAAAATAATTCCGTCACGAAGCTTTTCCGCAGTTGTCTGTTTTTCCTAAAGGTCCGTGTGTTTCCAGAGAACAAGCCGCTGGAGAACGGGAAGTCCAACGGCTCCGTGGAGAAAGGAGACGGCTCCGCGACGCTGGAGCTGCAGTCCAGTCCCGACAAAAGCAAACAGGCTTTCCTCTCGCTGGAGACGGAGGAGCAGAGACCAGAGAAGGCCTCGGTCATGGAGGTCTTCAAGAAGGTACTGCCACTGAGACTGCAAATCTGATGCATGGTGTGAGTCTGAAAATGAGCTGTCCACTGGTCTCAGGATCGAGGCTGGTCTGGATCCTATAGTTTAGTTCAGTTTGATTTATAAAATGTACTGTGTTGCATTAAAAAGATTCTGCACCAGATTTAGCACCAGCTACTTCCATCTGTCGTCCTTAAAGCAGCAATATGTTAGATTGTCATGTCGAGTCATCATTAAAGGGCCCTAATCTGTCATAATAATAAACTGGAACTCTGGAATATTGTGAAGTACTTGGGTCTGTAAAAATGTGCTATATAAATAAACATTACTTACTACTTTCTCGTTTTCTCGTGTGTTAGATCTGGGTGATGGCGCTTTGCGTGACCTTCGTCTTCACCGTGACTCTGTCCGTGTTTCCCGCCGTCACCGCTGACGTCAGGACCATCTTCCCGGGAAAGTGGGGTACGACCTCTTCCTCAGATCCTTATTTTTTCCACAAACTCATATTAATAAAACCGTTTTTTTTCCACTTTCAGAGAGATTCTTCATCTCCGTGTGCTGCTTCCTCACCTTCAACATCAACGACTGGATCGGCCGCACCGTGACCACGCTGGTCCAGTGGGTGAGTCTGCGCCGTCTGAGTGGGACTGGGACTAGGATGAGACTGAGACGGCGGCAAAGTCACCGTTCATCTTGGTTTTTATATTTGTGCACATGAGAAGCATGAGGAGGGAAAGTCTGACGGGACGATAATGATTTGGTCCAATTTTTGGGTAGAGAAGACTTTAGTACACTAGGATGAGAGGAGAGAGGACTGGGACTAGGACGAGATTAGGACAAAATTGAGACTAGGATTAGGACGAGAGCGTGACTAGGACGAGATTAGGATGAGACTGAGACGGCAGCAACGAGAATAGGACTAGGACGAGAGTAGGATGAGACTATGATTAGATGATTAGGATGAGAGTAGGACTAGAACTGAGTGGCCATCTTCCCACAGGGTCTGGATCTCTGCAGGGCTCTGAATCTAAACCCTCTGATACTCTCATACCTGTAGGTTCAGTGCCCTCTACACTGATGGTCTCTCTCTTGTGTCCACAGCCGGCCAAAGACTCACGTCTGTTCCCGGTCCTGGTGGTCTCCCGGGTGGTCTTCGTGCCTCTGCTGATGCTCTGTAACGTCCAGTCTCGCTCCTTCCTCCCGGTTTACTTCCCTCATGACGCTGCCTTCACCTCCGTCATGGCCCTGTTCGCCCTCAGCAGCGGATACTTCGTGTGCCTTTCCATGTCCTACGCCCCGCAGTGAGTGTGTGACTGTGTGTGACTGTGTGTGACTGTGTGTGACTGTGTGTGACTGTGTGTGACTGTGTGTGACTGTGTGTGGCTGTGTGTGACTGTGTGTGACTGTGTGTGACTGTGTGTGACTGTGTGTGACTGTGTGTGGCTGTGTGTGACTGTGTGTGACTGTGTGTGACTGTGTGTGGCTGTGTGTGACTGTGTGTGACTGTGTGTGACTGTGTGTGGCTGTGTGTGGCTGTGTGTGGGTGTGTGTGGGTGTGTCCTGAGACCAGAGGGAGAGAGAGAGACCAAAGCGAGAGAGACCAAAGCGCGAGAGAGACCAAAGCGAGAGAGAGACCAAAGCGAGAGAGAGACCAAAGCGAGAGAGAGACCAGCGAGAGAGACCAAAGCGAGAGAGAGAGACCAAAGAGAGAAAGAGAGAGAGAGAGAGACCAAAGCGAGAGAGAGAGACCAGAGAGAGAGAGACCAAAGAGAGAGAGACCAGAGAGAGAGAGAGACCAAAGAGAGAGAGAGAGAGAGACCAAAGCGAGAGAGAAATACCAAAGCGAGAGAGAAAGACCAAAGCGAGAGAGAGAAAGACCAAAGCGAGAGAGAGAGAGACCAAAGCGAGAGAGAGAGAGACCAAAGCGAGTGAGAGAGAGACCAAAGCGAGACTAAAGAGAGACCAGAGATAGAGAGAAGGAAAGACACCAGTGGAACATGGAATCTCCAAAAGCTCAGGAGACCAGACAGAGCTGCTGCAATAGGGGCCAGGTTCAGCCCAGAGGAGGGGGGCGGGCCCAGGTGCAGGCCAGAGGAGGGGGGCGGAGCCAGGTTCAGCCCAGAGGAGGGGGGCGGGGCCAGGTGCAGGCCGGAGGAGGGGGGCGGGGCCAGGTGCAGGCCAGATTAAAGAATGTATTTGCCATTTGCAGTGAAACCACATTGGAAAAACTGCAAGAGAAATTTTCTTTCTCTCTCCGTCTGCTTCAATAACTTCCTGGAGGCAAAACCAGGAAGTTATAAATGTTTTTCCTCCTCCATCTACACCTCCCAGACTGTAACCTACCCCCGTCTCTTTCAGAATGGTGGATCCTAAAGACGCAGAGACGGCCGGAGCGCTCATGACCTTCTTCCTGGCGCTGGGCCTGTCCATCGGGGCAGCGCTCTCCTTCCCCCTCAGACTCTTGGTCTAAAAATATTATTGTATTTAAACATGTTAACGATAAAACATTTGCCAAAAGTGTTCCCCCGAAGTGCTATCCTTGGGTCAAATTGTGATTATAGTGATTCAAAAATACTGAATTTTGATTTTTTTTTCCCAAATTTGACCTGCTCAGAGTCATTTAGACCCTTTTAGACCCTAATTGAAGATATTTGTTCTATTTTTAATCACTGTGGGGGGTGATTTGTCTCGAGGATAGCACAATTATGAAAGAAAACCCTCCCATATTTTTGTTATTTATGGTTTTGTATTATCGTAGTTTCCAGGGCATTCTCAACCTAGAAAAAGGGAGCTGTATTTTATTACTATAACTATTGAGTCATATTTTGTACTTATTTTAAACTATGCTTTAGATGGATTTTTTTGTATGTTGTCATTGTAGCTACGAACAAATGTATGTTGTGTAAACATAATGACAAAAGGACCTGCCTGGGACTTGGCAACTGGAGACCAGACTCTCATTCCACATGGTTTTAGCGCCCTCTGCTGGTCAGGATGATACTGACGGTGACGGAGCAGACAGAGCGCGTTTCACCACGTTTTTTTTTTTTTTGCAGCTTGGAAGAAAATGGAAAAAAGTAAAATGAGCTTTAAACGTGTTAAGTTCTGTGCTTTGAAATCGTGATATAAAATGGTGCCATGCAATAAGTCTGGGGAGAATAAGGACTGGTTCAGCTGTTTGTTTTGATGGGATTTTTTGTTGAATGTGTCTCAAAAATCTGAAAATATAGAGAGAGAGAGAGAGACAGACTGTCTATTTGGTAATAATAAATAATAAATAAATAAGCACCGTGAGCCCAGATGGTTCCACACTACAAAAAATGATCAAATATGAGGTAAAAATTGCTTGTTCATGTGTATTTTTATCTTAATCTGACACATTCTGACTGTGATAAAACCAGACTCTCCAATGAGACAAAACCATTTCGTTTTATTTCAAAAACTGTTGCTTTATTTTCTCATCGTAAGGGAGATATTTCTGTATTTTTTAAACAAGATCATTTTGCTTTGTCCTGTTGGAAAATCTTGAAATTTGAGCAATTTTTGACTTCTTTTTCATCATTTTTTTGCAGTGACTTGGTTTAGTTTCTCACAACTTTTCAGGTTGACTTAAGAAGTTCTGAAAAATATTCCCAACTTGATCAGTTCTCATTTTTTTGTGCAAACTCTGACTGGCGGGGCTCGGAGTAGAGGCGCTGCTTCTCCATACCCAGAGGAGCCAGTTTGTACCTGAGGCCTCCTGGACGTCTCTCTGGGAGGAGACTTGAGCAAGACCCAGGACCTGCTGTAGAGACTGTCTCTCTCTGCTCTGGGAACACCTCAGGATTCCCACAGATGAGCTGGAGGAGGTGTCTGTGGAGGGGGAAGTCTGGGCGTCTCTGTTCGGACTGCTGCTTCTGCGACCCGGCAACGGATAAAGCGGAAGAAAAGACATGGATGAACAATGAGTGACGTTTCCAGAGCTGAGCAGTGACTGATGGCAACTCGAACATGTTAGTAAAATATGGATTTGTCTTTCATTTGTTTTGTTTGGGTTTAAATATCTGCAAAATGTTGTATTTTCTGTATTCTCCGGTTCTCGACATTATAATAATCTACATTCTACGGCCTTAGTTTTAGGATCACAGCTGTTAGTCCTTTTGACCTCATACATGTTCTGCTGTGGTCTGGGGGTATTGTGCATGTCCCGTTCTCTGCTCAAAGGGCTCCAGGTCAGAGGCTGATCCTGGGACGTCTGTTGGGATTATGTTTTCTAGACTAACGCTCTGGTCTCTGGTCTGTGTGGAACTAGACTGAGACTCAAAGGGAAGTAGCCCGTCCTCCAGTTCTGTACAGAGAGAGGGTCAATAAAAGTCTGGAACAGCAGCTGCGAGCTCTGGTCATCACTGAGTCACCGCTGGAGGCTTCTGTTTCCATCCTAACGCTAGAATTCTGTGACTTCAAGAACTCTTTTCCCCATTTAAAACATTGTAGTTATGAACAAAATACCTTCAAAAATGTAAAGTTTTTCATGTTTTTAAGTAATACGGTAATTTTTAGATTTATTTTTGCCATTACTCAGTTAGACTAGCTTTAAATCTGGTGAATATACCAGTACTAAATATGAAATGCCTTGCACTGAGAGTTAAAGTAAAGATTAAAAAAGATTGACATTTCCCTACTGTGGGACAAATAAAGGTCTCTTATCTTAAAGTAAAAAGTTTTTGGATTTCAAGATAATTTCATAAGAATGACGTATAAATAAACTATAGTCACAGAAAAAGTGTCTGAAGGAAAAGGGTAAAGATATCTACATAAAGCAAAGGAAGGTTTCTCATCTGCACTTCTGAGCAGGTTTACCCGACTTTTTATGGATTCCAAAGAAGACTTATTAAGGACGAAACGTTGGGTAAACCTGCTAAGTACAGATGATGAGTACAGAACCCTTCCTTTGCTTTGACTAATCCCTGTCCGACTGAGAGCCTACACAAACTTATATCTACATGTGTGACCGTGTACATGCAGTAACCGCATAGGCCACAAGAGGGCAGTGCGTGAAAGGTTTACACTTGGAATGAGCTAAAACCAAACAAAAATTCAGATTAAAATGTAGTGATTTGTTGGTAAATAAGAGGCTTTCAACGTCCCAGTATCCTGAAGTACTGTGTATTTGTTCATATTTTGCACCCGAGTGTCTTTCATTGGTCTTTAAATAAAACCCTTAGGAGCAACATGTGTAGATATTTCTGCAGACAGACTTGAGAGACTATTTTATCTTGTATTAGTCCAGCTTCCAATGCACAAGGCTTTACGCTACATCCTCAAACATAATCAGAATAATGACATTTCAGTCTCTTTCACAATCTCTGCTCCCTTCATCTCAGCTCAGGCCTTTCAAACAGGAAGGAAAAGACTATTGCGGTTTTCTCACTTCTGCACCGACCAATGCTCATGGTTCAGACGTCAGAGAAGTCCAGCTCTCACACAGAAGTAGAGGAGACGAAAGACAGAGGATGTGAAGAAAGAAACAGAAGTCAAGATGAAACTTCTGTTCTGGAGCCTGCAACTGGCCTCTCTCTGCGCGCTGTCATCCTGGAGTAAGTCCACTTTAAATGACATTTCATTTTAATAGATTAAACCATATTACTAGGAGTTATTTGCACGTGAACCAAAATATTGTCATTTTTTTGCGGATTCTATTTTGTATAATTTTTACAAGATACAAGAATGTCTTTGCCATTTGCAGTAAAACCAACCTCGCCCTGACGAAGACCGCTTTGGTGGAAACGCGTGGGCAGTACATTTTTAATCATGGATTTTTTCAGTTTTTCAATTCAACAGAGCGCCTCAGACTCCCTTATTTTAACCCCTCGATCACTACACTACGATCCAGTCAAAAACATCCTATCGCTGCAGTAAAACCACATTGGAAAAACTGTGCAAGCCTGCCCCGGTGTGTACCAGACACGCACCAATACATCCGTGTTCAGTTATTTTTTGCTGAAGTTAATATTTGTATTGTTTGGCAATTTAGATGTTTTTGTAGATTAAATTGGGTTTAGTTAAAAGGGCGGGCCGTTTTTGTTCTCATTTGTTGTTGTTTTCCTGCAACGTTCAGATAAACCTTTTGAACCTTAGTTTTGATTGGACATTTGTTTATTTTCTACTGCGTAAACCGCTCACCCAAGTTGGTTGCCTTTTGTTTGATAGTTTCTTTTGACAAATAGTCACCACAAGTTGTTTTCTTAGAAATGAGGTATAACGCGCCATTGTAGCCCATTGCCTTCAATTCTGCAACTTAATATTGTTTTCAGTTGGTACAAAATGCCGCAGATGCTTTTTAACCCTTTAATGTTCACTCCTTGTCATTTTCTCAAGTTTTAAATTTTCTAATATGTAGCAGCACAAATTTTTATGTCTTTTTTTTTCTTTTTTGAACCCATACTTTTTAATTATAGACCAAACGGAAAAGTGCCTAAAACCAAGAGATAGAGATGAAAGAATGAGGTCGATCTCCGTTTCAAGTAAAAAATGATCCACCAAAAGGTTGAGGAAACACACCCGGACATTAGCCCTGTACCTTTTTCGTTTCGAGTGGAATTAAAATGTTTGGTGACACTTTTTTTAATGCTTTTTAACTGTTTTTTTGTTTGAATGCATAAATGTTTAGATATATTTTATTAGATTTTATTGTAAAGCACTTTGGTCACCTTGAGTATAAAATAAGGATTAAACGACTCATTTAAACATTATAACCGTATAATGCACGTCTCCTCGAAGTTTAATCTGCTTATACTTTGCTCTCGTGAATTCAAGTGTGTAACAAATGTTTATTGATTTTACTGAACTGGCCAAATATGTTTAAGTTTAGGGATTGTTTATCAAGTCTGAAAGCAAAACTTTTGCCTTAGCAACCGTTGTAAAGAGAAATGGGAACTACTTTTAATAACACGCAGACAAAGCATTTACCCAGACCTGTTGCTTTTGTCGTTCTCTTCTTCACGTTCTTCAAAGGTTTTGTTAAGTCCAAAAATGTTAAAATTCACCTCAAAATCTATGTTTTCCGGCGTTATTAGTTGCAACGGCGTGTCACCTGACTGACAGTTTATCTGATCCAGCTGTAACAGTAAAGGCCTGTGTTTACTCGCGCGGCGCTGGTTACGTTGGACCTACGCAGCCACAGTTAATCATACACTTGCGCGCGTATGCCTGTGTAGTTTTGAAGAGAATGTTGTAATCCCACATCCAACCACGTGATGGCGATCTACTTACGTCACCACCGTAAGCTCCGCGCCGCGCGACTATACACTTGGCTTTACTATGGCAACAGTTGTGGCGGAGTGATATAGAGCAGTGGTTCCCTAAGTGGGATGTTTAATGTGCGGACCTCTTTACCGCTGACTTCGAAAAGCCGGGCCACTTTACCGCGGTCGGAGAACAGTGAGGGCGAAAAATCTTTTCGGAGGCCTCTGAGACTGGTCTTTCGAGCCGGATTCTTCCCGTGGGCCTGAGTTTGACTTTTCTGCTTTGAGTGATTAACAAGAAACAAAATGTGGTGTTTATGTGTTTATATTCTGTCCATAGGTGCGTCCTCAGACTCAAAATCAGTGATTGTGACCCAAGATGAAGAAGTGACAGTGGAAGAAGGACAAACGGCTGAAATCTCCTGCTGCTGGACAGAGGGGAACGAAAGAACAAGAGTGACCTGGAAGAAAAGTGGAAAAACAGTTAAAAATAAGATTACGAACACAAGTTGTTCAGAATTAACCTTTACAAACGTCTCTAAAGCTGATGAAGGCACTTATATCTGTAATGTAACCACGGAGATACCATTTTTAGGATCCGGGTTATCAAATGGAACGGTCGTCAAAGTGAAATCTAAAAATGAGACGGTGTTGGACCATGAAACCAGTGAGTGAAGTAAATATGTTGTTTACAGTAATCTGCTCACGTCCTGAAGTGTGTGTTTGTGTTTTTGTGTAGATCCAGGGGTTAGAACTTCACTCTATGCCTTAATCGGGCTGGCAGCGGTGGCACCAATCCTCCTGGTCGCACTGATCTGTGTGTGTCGGCTGCAAAGGAGACGAGGTGAGTGTCCGGTCCTCGTTCTACAGTCTGAGTCCTGGGTCTACAGCCTCAGTCCTGGGTCTACAGCCTCAGTCCTGGGTCTACAGCCTCAGTCCTGGGTCTACAGCCTCAGTCCTGGTTCTACAGCCTCAGTCCTGGATCTACAGCCTCAATCCTGGATCTACAGCCTCAGTCCTGGGTCTAGCCTCAGTCCTGGGTCTAGCCTCAGTCCTGGGTCTACAGCCTCTCTGGATCACTCTGGTCTCAGGACAGTGATGATCCCGCTGCTCGTCCCGGTCCCTATGAACCAATGGCTCCTATGAGTTTGTGTTTTTCAAAATGGGCTTGAACCTAAGACTTATTTTAAATGCAAACCATAGTCCGCTGATTAATTCATCTCTCTTAGAAAATTGTTTTAATGAGACAAAAAGTGAAAAGAAAAAGAAAAAAATAGTGTCTTATTATAGTTGTAAACCCTTGAATGTTCACTTTTTAGAGAAAGTAATGTCCTTTTTTTCTTGTTTTAAATTTTCTAAGATGTGGTAGCATACCTTTTCTATGTCTTTTTCTCTTTCGAACCCCTAGTTTTTAATGATAGGCCTTTAACAAATGGTTGAGATGCAGTTCGATGGAAAAGTGCCTAAAACCAAGTGCTAGAGATGAAATAACGCTGTAGATCTCAGTTCCAAGTAAAACAATGATCATAGGGTCAAAGCCCTTAAGTTTCTGTAATATTATTTTTTGAACACAAAGAAAATTCATAAATGTTTTGTATTTTCTAATTTCTCTGATGTTTGTGTCGCAGCTGGAGCCGCCAGAGTCATCTACGAGGAGCCACACTTTGACTCCGAGACGCAGGACGTGGACAAACGCAGCACCGGGTCGAGCGGCTCATCACAGTGGGTCAGTTCAAACACAGAAACTTTATCGACAAATAAACACAACAAATTAATACATTGTTTTATAAGTAGCTAACAATAGTAATGATCGTAGTAAAAGTTTAGTCCTCAGCAGCAGATGGTGTCGTTGCTGGTAATGAGCTGCTTCCAATGGTGTCTGCAGAGTCCATTGTCTGCTCTGGTTCAGAGTGAAATTCTGAATGATTTATCAGCATTCATAATTAGCATTAGTGGATTTCTGCTCGTTCTGTTTGTTTGGGACCATCGTCTCAGCTCTGGTCTGGACCAGTGTAAAACCATAAACACTGAACTGCGGTAATTTTTACAGGTAGAAAAATTGATAAAAATAAAACACAAAACAACAGTTTTAGAGCGACTCAAAAGTAAAGTAGTCATAAAAAGAAGTTCTATAAATGGGGAAAAACGCTTTTGGGTAAATCTGACAACAAAATAAAGATAAATATAAATTAAGATAAAGAACAATAAAGATGTCTGGTCCCTGGTTTTACTTTTGGTTTTAGTTCCAAACCGGGTCACTTCAAAACTTTATTTAAAAGTGAAAGTAAAAACACTTTCCCTTCTACAGATGTGGCTTATGTTTGTCCAGTTTGTTTTTTCTTTTATTGTGCAAACAGTGTATAATTACCATTGGCCTCTATACTGCATCCTATGTTAATATGAGGTTAATTAAATACAAAATAATAAAAATACACCTGTTTACTTTTACAGTGATATCTGTAATAAACTTTGAACAGCGTTGAGACTGTTTGAATAATAATAATACTTAGCTTTATATTTGTAACGTGGGTGACTGATGTAGTTTGATGCTTGGTGCGCAGCAGGCGTTATTATTATAGATATAGATCCATGGTAGCAGGTCTCAAGTATCCATGACAATACAACTGCTCCCCCTGGTGGCCGGAGTGGTTACAGCAGCTACAATACACCAGTCTTGACCCTGTGTGTTTTATTCCAGTGTCAGGTCCTGCTGTACGATTCTGTGGACTACTTCCAGCAAACGGAGTCCAGGAAGACCTGAGACTTCATTACACCTCCGCCTCTCTCTATTCTCTCTCTCACTTCTGTCCTCTCTCTTATCTAACCCTTTCCCTCTCGCTCCACTCTTTCTCTTCCCTCTTTTGTCTTCACTCTCCTCTCTTCTGTCTTCTTTCTCCCTCTCATCTACCCTCTTCTTTCCATCTAATCTTTCCTCTCTCTACCCCTTCTTTCTTTACCCTTTCTCTTTCCTCTCCCTTTCCTCTCCCCTCTTTTCACCTCTTGTCTACTCTCTTCTTCTCATCTCATTCTTTCTCTCCTCTCTCCTTACTTCTCTCACTTCTTACTATCCTCTCTCCTCCCTCTCAACCCATGACGTCTGAATGTTCTGTCCATGTAAATACATTTCAATAAAGTAAGTTTTGTGACATTTATTCTCTGCTCCTCCATCATGACCTCTGCAAAAAACAGAATCTACACTAATCTGAATTTAGAAGCGTGGCTAACCACTCCAGCCCTGTATTTATGAACCGTACGGCTAACCCCCAGTGTAGAGTAAGTCACCACATGTTATGAGAGTCAGGAGTACACATTATACTCAGTAAAAGTAACTGATACTCTGTAAAGTACTGGTACAAAACACAGAAGTAGTTTTCCTCTGAGCCTCGGTGAGTGCAGAGTTGGTGGTTTCAGCCGCAGGTGGAAAGTGCGTTGCTCAGAGGTCAGACTGGGGCAGAGGAAGTGGAAAGATCGACCTGCTCAGTTTCTCAGATCTGAATTCTTGTAAATGCAGATTCTAAGCTACAGTTGAGCCTGGACAGACTCGTACAAACAGACGTAGTTCAGGAGTTCTTTGTACTTGATTGTCATTTCCAAAGAGACCTGTCCTCACGGAGACAGAGCTCTGCCTCTTTCAGAACAAACCGTAACTAACTTTTGGTAAACGAAAAGACACACCATCCTCTCGACCTATATCATTTCTCTCTCTCTGGTTTCTGCCTTTTTGCCAAATTTGCTCATATTCCTGCCTTTCTCGCTCTCTCTGGTCTCTCGCTCTCTCTCTGGTCTCTCGCTCTCTCTCTGGTCTCTCGCTCTCTGGTTTCTCTTTTGTGGTTAATTTTGTCTGTTCTGGCAAAATATTTTCTCTATTCCCGCTCAAATGTAAAGTGGGTGGGGCCAAATATCGGCTGGAGTAAGTCTCATGAGTAAGTCAGTACAAATAAATCTAAATAAAAACACTTTGAATGAACAAAGAGCACACAGAGCAGTTGGTTCCCTGTGTTTATTGAAAAGCCTCTGTACAGGTGGGAGCTGGGGCCGTGGTAAACGAGTCGTCATTCTGTCGTCAGAGAAAACGCATAAAAGCAAAAAACAAAAAAACGTGAAAAGAGAAAACGTACGTACAATGAGACAAGGCAACACGACCAGCTTTAGACCAAAAAGTTACACTGAGGACTAGAGCCTCTTCTCTCTCACTCTCTGTGTGTGTCTGTCTGTGTGTGTTCATCGCTTCTTGGGGGGCTGGGCTGTGCGTGGGGGGGTGACTGGGCGCCCGGCGTTCATTCCTCCGTACTGGTACTTGGCTTTCTTCTCAGACGGCTTCAGGATCTGGAGGCAAACGAAACACACCGTGAACATGGAGAAATGTGTGTGTGAGGAGTTGTAATGTACATAAAACAAACAATAACAATAAACAACAACGCAACAGCCAGTCAGAAGTTTTGAGCTGACTCACATTGCACCTGAAGATCTGAAGTCTGTTAAACTTGTCTCTTTTATCTGGAACATTCCAAAAGGCCCAAAAACTGCTAAATCACGCTCCTCATTTCAAAACTTCATGGGGAAAAATAGACAGATTTCTAATTATTAATAACTTTTTTGATTTGTACCAGTCTGGCTTTAGACCAGATCTTCATGGGAAAAAAAAATCTTAAAAATCGACTCCTCTCTCTGGTCTCTCCCTCTCTCTGGTCTCTCCCTCTCTCTGGTCTCTCCCTCTCTCTGGTCTCTCCCTCTCTCTGGTCTCTCCCTCTCTCTGGTCTCTCCCTCTCTCTGGTCTCTCCCTCTCTCTGGTCTCTGCTTTTGCTGTCAACTTTGGTCTCTGACTCTGGTCTCTTTCTTCAGAGTCAGAGACCAGAGTCAGAGACCAGAGTCAGAGACCAGAGAGAGACCAGAGTCAGAGACCAGAGTCAGAGACCAGAGTCAGAGACCAGAGTCAGAGACCAGAGTCAGAGACCAGAGTCAGAGTCCCACCTGGAAGGAGCACATGAGGGTCTCGTCCACGCTCATCATGCCGCCTGCGTTGTCGAACTCTCCGCAGTAGTTTGGGGCCGAGAACAGCGTCACCAGCTGCCGTTTGGCAAAGAACTCATATCCATCTTCTACCACCTGGGGGCGCCACAAGACACTTCAGAACACACTCGAAGAAAATGGGAAAACAACACAAGGTTTTTATCAACTCTAATTCAAAGCTGGCGTTCTGATGTGAGTGGAGCACCTCTCTCTGGTCTCTCTCTCTCTGGTCTCTCTCTCTCTGGTCTCTCTCTCTCTGGTCTCTCTCTCTCTGGTCTCTCTCTCTCTGGTCTCTCTCTCTGGTCTCTCTCTCTCTGGTCTCTCTCTCTCTGGTCTCTCTCTCTCTGGTCTCTCTCTCTCTGGTCTCTCTCTCTGGTCTCTCTCTCTCTCTGGTGTCTCTCTGACTTCCAATGGTGGAACGACAAAACTTAAGAGTTGGAACAGAATCTTAGAGTTGGTTCTTAGAGTTGGTCATGGATCCTAGAGAATCTTAGAGTTGGTGGAGAGTCCACAGACCTGGTGGGCTCTGCAGATCAGGTCCAGGTCGTGGCGGTTCAGGAACTTGCTGACCACATCGGCCCCGAAGGTGAAGGAGACGCCGCGGTCGTTCTCCCCCCAGCCCTGAACGTCCTTATCCGGGTCGGACCAGAGCAGGTCACACAGCAGACCTGGAACCACAAGGACAAGCTCTCAATGCAAGTTAATGGAGAAAAACTTCGTCCATGAGCACTTCCCTAATAGTTTAGTTTAGTTTTTTAATTAGCTTTGTCCATCTATATACAGTCTATGCTTGTAATTGTAATATAACACGGATTTTAACTTTGAAAGGTCTAGGGAGAGATGCATGTATGTTTGAGTTGATGCCACCAGAGGGCGCCAGAGTGAAGCTGCTCAGAGTAGAGGAAGTTTGTTGTAATTTATTGAATGTGAGATTTTACTTTTTACTCACCAGACAAATCTTGTCAGTTTTAGTTTTAGCGGCCATTTTAAATTAATCCATGTCCATCTTTATACAGTTTGTAATGTTGGTAATGGTTACTTATATTTCAGTTACTTTATTACAGTTACTTACATCAGTTACTTATATTAGTTTAAATTAATTAGCTTCTCTCAGCTCCGTCTGCAACAGTTAAAACACAAAGAATATAGAACATCCATCCATCCATCCATTTTCTACCCTTTAATCCATTTCTGGGTCAGGGGGGTGGCAGTCAGAGAGATGCCACCCAAGTCTCATAGCACCAGCCCCTCACTGACCCTCTGCAGGTGGTGAGTCCACAGGAGGACGGCTGCTCTCTGACTGTGAGCATAGCCTTGATCTTTCAGTGGGGGCTTTTGGGCAAAGTGGGGTTAAGTGTCTTGCCCAAGGACACAACGACAGCAGTCATCAGTGGGAGTCGATGGTGAAGGTGCAGAGGTGGGAATTGAACCCACGACCTTCTAGCCTTAAGGCCAATGCTCTACCAACTGAGCTACTGTCGAATATAGAACACATGTTGAAAAATGTCCATACATGTTGTAGAATGTTAAAGTGTCCTGGATCATCACCACGGTCCTTTTTGTTAGACACTAACTGTCCAACAGACCTTCCTGCATCGGCAAGGAAAAACTCCGAAGAAAACCCAGTGGGAAAAAGTGAGAAACCTCGGGGAGACCCATGGTTTGAGAAAGGGATCCGCTCCCACGGACGGACGGGCTATAGATCCAGGACTTAAGCTACAGAACGTGGACCAACGGCGGCTGAACGTGGACAACATTCTTTTTCTCCCTCCCCTACCTTTACCACACCACCATTAAATGTAAAATATTCCTCCTCCATTTTCTCCCTCCATCCTCCCTCTCTGCTCCTCCTCCCTTTCTCCTCCTCCAGTAAATCCTTAATCTACCACAGCCTCCACAGAGAAATAGTAGGGCTGTCAAACGATTAATTTTTTATCAAGTTAATTACAGCTTAAAAATGTATAAATCATAATTAATCGCATTTCAAACTATCTGCAAAATGATGCCATATTTTTCTGTAAATGGTTGTTTGAATGAAAAGATAAATGACAGCATAGTGAACATATGTACTGTATTTGTTTATTATTAAAATAAATCCATATAAAATGGCATTAACATTATTCACATTCTGTCTTTCTGTTTAGACTCAGACCAAAACTATTGTTTGTTACAGATGAGGGACATTTCAAAACAGTCTGAAATGCAGAATGTCATTAAATCTGTCATGAACTGGTAGTGGAAGGGAAAATTAGGTACCCCAGCTTTAATTTAGTGAGTGTGCTTCGGGAGAAGACACGGAGGAGACTGAGGCTCAGCTTCAGCGCTGTAGATATTGTGTTCACCGGTTACACAAAGACACGCACACCACAAGCAGAGAATAATGCGTGTATGGTCATGGATATGATCACGTTACGCGGCGCCGTTCGCCGTGATCACAGCCGCTGGAGGAACTGCTGTCCAGAGCGCTCAGCTCGCAGAGTTCATACAGGAAACAACAGCGGTCACGCTTGTATTCTTTTAAACTTGAATTCCCAGAGACCTGCTCTGTCTCATCGCACACACACGTGTCTGCGGCATTCTGACTGTTATTATGGGATGCATGGGCATGCGTACATTTTTTCACGCAATCAATGGAAACAATTCCTTAACGTGCGTTGACGCGGTAATTTTGACAGCCCTAATAAATAGCCTCCTCTTCCTCCAGAGTCATTGGTTTTAGTGACATCACAATCTCCCGCAGTGAGACGAAAACACACACGTTTTGAAGAAGATTTGTTACATTTAAAATCTCTTAAAGTTTAAATGTATTAGTTTGTCTCGTGTTTGCGGGAGGGGGATGTCCTTATATGGGCAGACATCAGCGAGGCCTTTCCACTTCCTCTTAAGGTCCTTCAGAGTTTATCCTCCGCTGCTTTAGGACCCGTCCACATCTCTCTCTCTCGTCTCTTGTTTATTTATTGTTCTGTTCTTTGTTATTATCGTCTATATTTACACATTTGGTCACATCACAGCTCGGGTTCTCATTCTCAGGTTTAAAAGAAAGACCATGTCAAACTCATATTTGTGAGAATTTAGATGATTTGTTTTCTTTCTTCAGACAGAAAAGTGAAATTGAGAAAATAATTAAGACTAAAACTAGAATAAAAACTAGACACTACTTTGAGAAAGTTTGGGACTAAACAAAAAAAAAAAACAAAAAAAAAGATTTCTTTAGCCTTTTCCTACTATATTAGAAAAACCTTCTTAAAAACGTGTGACCTCAGAAAACATTATTTTGACTTTAAAATGTTGGTTGTCGTCATTTTTCCTAGAATCAAAAGTACTACACTTACTACTATTTAGTGCTACACAATAGATTATCACACACAGGCGCATAGATCATGGTGTATCACTCAAATAATCATCACACATGTGCGGAGCAAGGACTGATACATGAAGAAGAGGGTAACACCTTTAAGCTACAGTCTCATGGAAAAAGAAAGAATTTTTTTGTGTTTTTTTGTGTTTTTCCCCCAAATGAAACACAAATAAGAGAGAGAGAAGTGGGACCTGTGTCTGGGACGTCTGTGGGTCTCATGATGCGTCTGATCTGCTCCATGGACTGAAGGTCTGGGGACAGCCCTGAGGATACATCACAACACAATAGATCACACAACACAACACAACATTACAACATAGAGAACACAACATAACACAATATATAGAAAACACATGTCTCTGGGGCGTTCAGGATGTACTGAGTGATCGAACCACCGAGCCTGAAGGTTGTGGGTTCGAGTCCATCGCAACACCTTCTCCACAGACTCTCACTGATTGCTTACTGTTGTTGTGTCCTTGAGCAAGACACTTAACCTCTGGGAACAGCAGGTGCCACAGTGGGCGGCTGCGGCTGTAAAGTGCCAAACTGCCAAAATTGTGTCCTTAGGCAAGACACTTCACCCCCATTGCCTAGAATGAGTCTGGTGTGTGTGTGAATGGGTGGTGGTGGGAGGGGCTGATGGCACAGACTGGTTGCCTCGCTTCTGTCAGTGTGCCCCAGGGCAGCTGTGGCTACAGTAGTAGTTTATCACCACAGTGTTTGGAGTGAAAGAATAATAATGTGAAGAGACTTTAAGAGTCCAAAAAAGCGCTATAAAATAATAAGAATAATTATTATCATTATTGGAGTCGATTCTATTCAGTATTGTGAAATATCTTGCAACTAAATCGATGCAATAAATAGAGAAAAGTATTTAATTAAACAATTTTCTGTTTTTTACCTTTTTCTCCTCCAAGTTTACTCTGGTACTTTACATTGTGTATTAAATCCTGAAGTTGGCGAATGTTGCGGTACTTTGTGTGTACTTTGTGTTGCCGTTACCTCCGTGACAACAGAAGATCTTCTCGTCCACGATGGCGGCGATGGGGAGACAGTTAAAGCAGTCGGTGAAGGTTTTCCACAGCTTTATGTTGAACCTGCGTTTACCTGCACACACACACACACACACACACGCACACAAACAGACGGAGAGACACACACACACACACACAAAGACAGACAGACACACAACATTATGGTTTGACAAAAACATGGGGAAAGGATACAAAGACCAGAGAACCTTTATCTTAACTGGATTTAGCATCAGGCCATAGAAGCATCAACATTGATTCAGAGAAGGACTGAGATTTTGTGTCAGATTTTTGAGTTTTAAATGAGCTTTTATCCCTGAAAAAGCATGTTTATCAATTTCAACGTAATTCAAATTTCAAAATGAATAATTGCCTTTAAAATATTCATGTTTATTTTCAAGCTTCAAATTCATTGCACTGTGAAATTCAATGATATTTTTGTTTAAATGGATCTGAATTCTTGATTATTTTTTTCTGCTAATTTCAGTCCCCAACCATCAATTTCAAAATAATAAAAATCAACGTGAATAAATACGATGGTGAAAAAAATGTATCCATAGATCCATGGATTTTGCAGCAGCAGATTCTCCTCATGCTAAATGAAGCAAAGGAAGGTTTCTCACCCATCATCTGTACTTCTTAGCAAGTTTTCCCGACGTTTCGTCCTCAACCTAGCGGACTTCTTCAGGGAATGAATTCTCGGACCGCGCGTTGGAGATTTATAACCTATGGGTGTGGTAAGCCACACCCTAACCCTGATACTAACTCGTAAACAATCTACGGTCTGCTTGATGTAGAAGGGAGCAGGTCTAACGACCCTGCTGAGGCTAACGACCCTAACTCATTAGCATGTCACAGACCTATTGTCTGCTGGGATGCTCAAGTGGAGTGCAGGTTTCACCCCTCCTAACTCATTAGCATGTCACTGACCTTGTCCCAAGTTAGGGTGTTGTTTTTAGGATGTCGTCATAGATGCGAGGCAAAACAAATCTTAACCCTCCTCCTCTGTTAAGAGAAGGTTTCTGTTTCCTCACAAAAATGGCTTCTTTCACCCCTCTCTCAAACCAATTCTTCTCCCGAGCCAGAATTTTAACCTCTGTGTCATCCACCGTGTGGTTGGAGGCCTTGAGGTGGAGATGAACAGCCGACTGTGGCCCACTAGAGTTTTCTCTACGATGTTGTTTCTGTAGAGTTCTGTAGAGTTCTGTAGAGTTTGTTTGGTTTCTCCAATATAGTGGTCAGTGCACTCCTCTTCACTACATTTAATTGAATACACCACATTGCTCTGTTTGTGTCTGGGTGTTTTGTCTTTGGGATGCACTAATTTCTGTCTTAACGTGTTGAAAGGTTTGAAATACACAGGGATTTTGTGTTGCCTAAAGATTCTTTGTAGTTTCTCTGAAACTCCCGCCACATACGGTAAGGACACCCCTCTCCTCCTACTTTCTTCTGTCTGTTGGACTGTGTCTCTGGCCTTTCTCGTCCTTTGGGCTTTAGTAAAAGACCACTTGGGGTAGCCACATCTGGAAAGTGCTCTCTGAACATGTTTGGTTTCTCTGTTCTTTCCCTCCGAGCTAGTGGGGACCTGGTGGGCTCGGTGTTGAAGCGTTCTAATGACCCCGAGTTTATGTTGTAGCGGATGATTTGAATCAAAGGCCAGGTACTGGTCAGTGTGAGTGGACTTTCTGAAGACCTCAGTCTCTAATTGTCCGTTCTCCAGTATGATGACCTTACAATCTAGAAAGGCGAGTTCACTCTCCTTAGCATCCTCACGAGTGAAATTTATAAAAGGGTCCACCGAGACTGTGCTGAAAATGTTCCACTTCCCTGTTTCTTTAACTTAAACCCATGTATCGCTACATATCGAAACCAATGCTTGGCCTGTCCCTGGTAAGAGCCCAGGTCTTGTTTCCTCCAGTTTCTTATCCATATACAGATTGTGGCCACGATAGGATGAGACTGGGGAGCCCATCGCACAGCCACCGAATCAGTCTAAAGAAGTGCCTCTAAAGTGGAAAATACTGGTGTTAAGACACATTTCAATATTTTCACAGATGTGGTCATGCTGTTAGTTTCGTTTCTCATCCCCTAGTGTGCATCGTTCTAGGATTTCTCTTACAGCCCTCCACCGCCCTCTGTTAGGGACCTGCGAAAAAGCGAGTCACATCAAACGAGACCATAGTCTCAACTCAGTGTCCAAACTGGAGCTTGTTTTGGATTTTAGTTACAAATTATTTTTTGTTTTCTATGTGATGGTGGGTGTTACCCACCAACGGATTGGGACATTTTTGGGAGTAATACTTAAAACCAGCCCGGCAGCATATACAACGGACTCAAAGGCCTTTTATCAATGCAGAGACTCCTTCTACGCCATGCTATGAGCTTTGTGATGGCCCCCTCTGTCTGTCACACCCTTGTGCCTTCGTATCTTGAATCGTATGCCTGCTCCTATCCATATTCCCTGCAAGCCAGGAAGAGCCGGGCCCCCCCCCCGACACCTACAGACAATGGCTATCACTCTTTCCCCCTTTCCCACCTCTTGCATATGTATCGGTCTGTATGGTGTGCACTTCCTACATCCTGCAGGCTGGTTTGCACCCAATCGCCTCCTCCACCGGTGGCCCCCTCCCATCTGTTGTGGGCGGACTGGCGTTCGTTGTGCCTTGGATACAGGAAGCTCGGGGCTCTGGCCCCAAGCTGGGACATGCTGCCTTTGAGTGGATGTGCTGGCTCTCCCGCCAAAACTGCGTTAACAAAAAACTTAACCTTTTGATCAGACAAAGGGACCTTGAGTTTTCTCTTCATGGGTTATATAATTCTATAACCATTTGGGGCGTGCTGGATACTTTCGCGGGGGACGAGCGGCTTTGTTTGGCCGACCTGGATCACACCACCTCTGTTCCTTTTTTGGAAAAAAAGGCGCGCCATCGTCCCGCGCACGGAAGAATCCTTTTTGCCACACAAGAACCAAAAGAACCAAATCTGGTGAGTCTTGTCTTTTTTTCATCTCGTAACGAGCCCAGGGCAGCCCTTAAGTCACCTACGGGGATTTGTTTATTTATGTATTTTTGGAATTTCATCATTGCCACAGCATAGGTCCCTTTGTCGGATTTTGTGTTGGGGGCTTTTGTTCTAGATTGAAGCACGGCTGCGCGTTAGTAATCCGCACGTTGGTAACGTCCACTGATTCTCTGAGTGTCTTCAGCCAGAACCGCTCCGGGTTCAAGAACGAAACGCGCTCGCTGGTTGAACCACGGGGGGGTGAACGAGCTCCGCCACAGTGGGTAGGAAAAGCAGGGAGAACTAAGCGGTTAGGCCCATTGTTCGTAATCTACGAAAAATGGGTTAAAATCAATCTACAGATGCAAGCTATGACGAGCTTGCCTATGGGTGCAGGTCATCTGCGTGATAATTTATGAAGAAGAAGGGAAGAAAAAAAAATATACTTGGTTTTAAGAATATCACGCAAAAGAGTTTAGAGAAAGAAATATGTAAAAACAATAGCTCCACCGCCATTCACCGAAGACGAGACACTCAAGGCCACACACACGCCCTCTCTCACCAACTAACCCTTTCACACTAGGAAGCAGAACTCCATGCTAATACAGCGCCCAAACAAGGCGTGGTTTTTAAAAAATGAAGCAGACTACTACAATAACAACAATACAAATTTATGTCTGTGTAAAGCCCTCAGGTCACAACAGAAGTCATCTCAGAGACTTAACAAAACCATTGAAATCACCAACACAGGTCAGAGAATCAACAGTATAAAACACATGAAGAATACAGTAAAAGCACACACAGAGAAAATGTCCATACATGTTGTAGAATGCTAAAGTGTCCTGATCATCACCAATCCATTTCTGTTTGGATCACTAACTGTCCAACAAGACCCCTGCATCGACAAGGAAAAACTCTTAAAAAACCCATGGGAAAAAGGAGGAAATACCTTGGAGGGAAACAAGTATAACCCACAGGGAGGGAGACCCATATGAGAAAGGGAATCCCTCCTCCGGACGGACAGACTAATGATCTAGGACCTAAGCTAGCACAGAACGTGGACCAGTGGACATGAACGTGGACAGTCCGGTTGCAGGACCGATAGCACTCCCATAGGGTCGGGCGGGGCATTCCCCAGTGTAGATGGAAGAGCCCCAGGCTCAGAGATCCCGTCATCGTACCATGAAACAGACAATGGGACAATGGGTGAATAGCAATGAACAAACTACAGTCAGAATCCAAAAAATGCTAAACATCAGATAAAGTAGGAAGGAGGAGAGGATAGTGCTCAATTACCATACTTCTCCCAGCAAACTGACTCCCTATGCAGCGTGACTAACACTCTGAGGAGTTTAACCTTCTCCGAGTCTTACCTTCCTAGCCATATGCTAAACTAAAGAGACTGTTTTAAACCTAGCCTTGAATAAAGAATAACATACAGCATAATATATAACATAATATCACAACATAACACAATACATTTTTGAATAATATAAAACTTAATATATAACATAATACAGCATATATATATAATATATACACTACATATAGTATATTACCATAATTATAAGCTAAATTAAAGTAAAGTGGCTTTAAAGCCTGGCCTTGAATGTGGAGACCGTATCTGCTTCCTTAACATAAATGGGAAGCTGATTCCACAGTAAAGGAGCTTGGTAGCTAAATGCCTCTGCCACCAACATGACCTTTGAGACCTTAGGGACCACCAAGACGTCTGGCGTTTTGTGAGCGCAAAACGCTCGACTTGGTTGATACGACACTAACGTGTCTTGGAGATAAGAAGAGCCAAGCCATTTATGCTTTATATGTTAAGAGTAGGATTTTAAACTTTATTCTGTACTCCACAGGGAGCCAGTGAGTGATTTTAACACCGAGTTATGGCTCCCTCCTTTTGGTACCTGTAAGATCCTAGCTGCTGTATTCTGAACGAGCTGGAAGCTCTTCAAAGAGGCTTTAGGGCACGCTGCCAGTAAAGCGTTACAGTATCGAGCCTTGAGGTGACAAACGCGTGAATGAGTTTTTCCGCGTCACTTTTAGAAGGAAATTCCTAATTTTAGCGATGTTCCGTAAGTGGAAGTACGCCGTTTTAGTTGCTTGGCTTATATAAGCCTTGAAGGAGAGTTCTTGGTCAAAAATGACTCCAAGATTCCTCACAGTGTTACTGGGTATTATACTGACATTATCGAGAGTAACCATCTGGTTAGTGAGGGAGTCACGCAGGCGCTTCGGACCGAGTAGGATCACTTCTGTCTTCTCCGGGTTGAGAAGTAGGAAGTTAAGAGTCATCCACATTTTAAGGTCCTTTATGCAGGCACTGAGCTTTTCTAGCTGATCTGTCTGATTAGGCTTCATCGACAGATAAAGCTGTGTGTCATCTGCATAGCAGTGGAAATTAATTCCATGCTTTTTAATAATGTTTCCCAGTGGCAGCATGTAGAGAGTAAAAAGAATCGTCCGAGTACCGAACCCTGCGGCACACCGAATTCCACTCCAGAATAAGGCGACGAGTCCTGATTCACATTGACGAAAGTGATATCCGATCTGATAAATAGGATTTAAAACCACCAAGGGCTGTTCCTCTAAGACCTATATCACATTCTAGCCTCTGCAGTAGAATGCTGTGGTCTATTGTGTCAAATGCAGCACTAAGGTCCATAGGACCACACTGACACTTGTCCATTATCGCAGCTAGTAGTAAGTCATTTGTGACTTTGACTATGCCGTTTCAGTGCTATGATGAGCTCTGAATCCGATTGAAAACTTCAAACATATCATTTTCCTCAGGAGGCAGCGAGCTGCTCAGCTATGAAAGATAGTTTTCCAGGATTTTAGATATAAAAGTGAGGTTCAGATCGTCTGTAGTTTTAAGTATTTCTGGGTCCAGGTTTGGGTTTTATTTCAGAAGGGGTTTGATTACCGCGTTTTAAAAGCTTGTGGACATAGCCACATTTGTATGGATGCGTTTATTATATTACGATAGGCCAATATCAAAGGAAGTAAGTCTTTGAAGACCCTGTCGGCGACTGTCGACTAACACAAGTGAGCTTTTGAATGTGACCACAGAAACACCTCGCAAGCTCACCAGCCATGAATTTATTAGGCCCACTGAATATGTCTAAGAGGGAAGTCACGTATGCCCGCATCCACCTGTGCCACCACTAACAGCAAGCATCCTCCTCCAGCTTGTCACGGATGGAGATGTAATTTTATTATTATGACGTGAGAAATCGACACTGCTCAGCTGAGCTTGGAATTTTAAGGCCGATGGCGCTATGGCAGTTTGTATTTCGGACGGTACCAACAAAAATCTACTTGTTGTTTTAATTCCTGCTATTAAAGTTTGAATAGTATTGAGTTCGAGCCCGCGAAGCCTGCTTGTAGTTATCGGAGACCTGTTTTTCCCACTCCACTGAAAGTGTTGATGGCCATGGAGCAGGGAAGAGTGACGGAATTCGAAGGAAAGAGCCTCGACCAGATACAAATTGAGCCTGAAGGTAATTCTTGATATTATTAAAATATGTATGATTTTTTTCCCCTAAAGGCCACTTGTATTTTTATTTTCTGTGCGACAGGGAGAGCAGTAGAGATCCTCTCACAAACGGACGGGCTAAAAGAAACTTCAAGCGGAGAACCTTCAACCATTCATCCAGATGCACCCCATGGTAGTGGCAGTGCCCCTTCTGGTAAGTGTACCAGGTGGGGGATTACAGCCAGGCTGCTTGGTCCTCACCCTGGGAGTGTATATTGCTAATATATTTTTATTTCTCTCCCTAGAACGTGTAAGAAAGCCATGGTCTGCATCTGAGGTGAAGGCTGTGGAGAAGACCATGACACCTTTCATACAGACTGGAAAGGTCCCTGGGAAGTCTCACTGCCTGGCCTGCATTAATGCCTCACCAGATGACCTTAGACATCGGACATGGAGTGGCATTAAATTCTATGTCAAAAATAGAATCACTGCAATTCGAAAACAAAATCTAAAATAAAATTCCTTTAAAATAGTTGTTTGGTTTCTATTGACTGTTTTGTATTACTTAAAGTCTTGGTAAAAAAAGATTATGTCTATGGGTCCCATTCTGAACGGCCCTGTCAAAGGGACCCACCAGGTAACAAAAACGTGTATGTGTGTGTGTGTGAGAGCATGTGTGTAAGCATGTGTGTTAGCATGTGTGTGTTTTACTTGTGTGCGTGTGTTTAAGCGTGAGTAGGCATGTATGTGTGTGCGTGTTTAAGCGTGCGCGTGTGTGTGTTTAAGTGTGTGTGTAAGCATGTGTGTGTGTGTGTAAGCGTGTGTGTGTGTGTAATCGTGTGTGTGTGTGTGTTAGCATGTGTGTGTTTTACTCGTGTGCGTGTGTTTAAGTGTGTGCGTGTGAAGGCATGTATTTGTGTGTGTTTAAGCGTGTGCGTGTGTTTAAGTGTGTGTGTAAGCATGTGTGTGTGTTTAAGCATGTGTGTGTGTATGTAAGCATGTTTGTGTGTGTGTAAGCATGTGTGTTTAAGCATGTTTGTGTGTGTGTAAGCATGTGTGTGTGCATGTGTGTAAGCATGTGTGTGTGCATGTGTTTAAGCATGTGTGTGTGTGTTTAAGCATGTGTGTGTGCCTAATATCTTAACATAAACATTCTACACTTTGCGGTTCAGTGTCTTCTCTTGTCGGTGGTGATGGTTTATTCCCCTGTCAATATAAAAAATCACAAAACAAACTTGAGTTCAAAGTTTCTCGGTAACGGCAAAAATATTAAGTACAGAATGTTGCACCTGTTTTGTCTTCTCCAGATATTTGTAGATGCAAAACAAAACATTGATGAAAGTAATAACAAGCAAACACCTCAGTATATGAATTAACACCGGCTGTGGGGTAGGGCCTGCAAGACAAAGACCAGGGAAAAATATCAATCTACGTACATACTCTTCAGCCGCTAACACAACCTTATAATATTTTCAGGCCCCACATGTTAGGAGTGTACTATAGTGTTAGCATTAATGCGGAAGAAGCCGATTTGGGCATAAAATAGCTGGAGCCAATTTCCTTATATGGGCATTTGTTCCGACGGGGGGTGACCTATGCGCCGTAGCAGGGGCAGATGCATTAAAAAGTTGTGTAGATGGTTGCTAAGGCTGGCTTGAGTTTCCCCCGCGATTTGATTGGTCAATCCTTCAGGACAGTATTTACGGGCAGTGGTCCTCCGTCCCGTATGAACCAATACATTTTTATCATCGCAATTTTTTGTGTTTCAATTGTTTGATTCTTGGATCTGTGTTGGCGAATTGATAATTTTGCAAAGTCCTTTAAAATAACTACACTGCAAAAAGAATGAAGAATAATAAATGAGGTAATAAAGGCTAGAATTAAGTGTTTTTTATTTCTAATTTGAGCAGATTCAGACAAAGGGACGAAGTCGTTTCGTCTTTTTTCAAGAACTGTTAAAAAAAACTTTTTCAAAAATGTCTTGCATCTTTTTAAAACAAGAAAATTTAGCTTGTCCCATTGGCAAATTTTGTTTTACAGTTTTTTCATGTTGCTTGAACACAGTTTGCAAAATTTTGCTCAAAGTCCCAAAACTCTACACACACGAGAACCTGACACAACACTGGGACATAAACCAGACACATCTGTGTCAAAATGAAACTCCTCTATCAAAACTCAAACTCTGCTCTCAAAATTAAACAATCATTCGTCAAAATGAAACTCTGAGGACAAAATGACACACACTTGCATCACGTGAACACACTTTCAGATTGAAAGCAACACACTACAGTACTTTATATAAAACACTGCAGTCATTTTCACTGTTTTTATTCTGTTTATCAGTTAGTTTTCTGTGAAGCTCAATGGAACTGTTTTTGTTCTCTGTAGCACTGAAAGGTTACAAATAATATCAACTCAATACAGTACAGTACTACAGTATACTTTACAGTACAGTACTACAGTATACTTTACAGTACAGTACTACAGTATACTTTACGTAAGACCGTCGAAATGCGCTCAAATGAAGATACATTTTGACAAATTTGAAACTTATTTTGTCATCATTTTTTGCAGTGTACTGTTGTGATTTAGGGATATACAAAAATACGTTGAATTCATTATGGCTCATATCTTGTTTTTTTCAAAGATTATACCAAAGCATAAACAACGGGATCCTGGAGAATTTTGAAGCCCAAAATTGTGAGACAAATGTTTACACTTTCCTGTGGGGCTTCATTGAGCTAGCGGGTCAGCATCGTAGCATCTATACACAGTCTGTGGGTCGCAGTGATGTCCCGGACCTCCCTGTGTTCTGGATTAAGATTGTTCTACTAAAATCCCTACTATCTTTTGATGGTTTTCAGCCTTGTTCCTGTTTTACTCAATATTGTTCCATTTGAATCGGTCCAAAGTGGCATTTAATTACACATTATTGTACAAACATATACAATAGTTCTGAATGTACTGCCTGAGTGAACCGAGTCTGGCTTCTATCCTCACCGTGTGTGAATGGAAAAATATCAGTACAGTTCCCTTGGCCTGTGAAATGTGCTATATAGATAAAATGTACTTTTGCTTTCATATATTCACATATTTCTGTCAACTCTGTGTATAGTGTTTGATTTAGACTTACAAGTTTCATGGTCTAACGCAGTCTCTTTCGTAGATTCCACTGTGAGGACTGTTCCATTTCCTGATCCTGAAATATAAAATGGTATCTCCACGACTATAGCACAGATATAAGTGCCTTCATCAGCTTTAGAGATGTTTGCAAAGGTTAATTCTGAACAACTTGTGTTTATAGACTCATTTTTAACTGTTTTTCCATTTTTCTTCCAGGTCACTTTTGTTCTGTCGTTCCCCTCTGTCCAGCAGCAGGAGATATCAGCCGTTTGTCCTTCTTCCACAGTCACTTCTTCATCTTGGATCACAATCATTGAGTTGGAAGAAGCACCTATGGAGAGAATATAAACACATAAACACCACATTTTGTTTCTTGTTAATCACTTAAAGCAGAAAAGTCAAACTCAGGCCCACGGGAAGAATCCGGCTCAAAAGACCAGTCTCAGAGGCCTCCGAAAAGATTTTGAATTATTATATTAAGTTGTAGCTTTGATGGTGACATGTTAGACCTTTTTTTAAACTCATTTCTCAAGAAACAGCCACATTATTTAATTAATTTAGAAACATGTGTACTTAGCGCACTTGAATATATGAATCATTTTAAGAAAAGATTTTTTATTTTTCTGCATTTCTGATTCTATTTATCTTTTAATCTTGTTTGCCCCAGAGCCAAATTTTCTAGTTTATGATTTATTGTTGCTTTGTGAACACATACTGCTGTTATATAAAGTCTCGGTTAAGCCGCTAGCCTAACACCGTTAGCATCAAAGCATCAAAGCCTGCCCGCCACATCCGCCCTGTGTTTTTCCCCATCGCAGAGCAGTACAAAAGATTTTCTAAACTCACGCAGATGAAATTTAGAGAATGCGGGTCCAGTGCGTTCACGGGTTGTGTGAACACGGCTACAATAATAACAATAATAATACATTTTATTTGTAGTGAACCTTACATTCCCAGGAAACCTCAAAGATACAAAACCACAAACAGCAAAACAAAGCAAAAGAATCAGAAGAACATAAATGCATCAAAAAATACATGAAGGGTGAAAAGCTGATAAAAATGTATGCTAAATAATACATGTTTTCTAATGAGTTAACGAAGCAGTGTTGCGGTTTGATCTGTTCACAACATTTTACTTTAATAAGACGTTTTGGCCAAAAAACAAAATACAGTAGTTTTGAAATTAATGTTGTATACCTCAGCTTTAAGTTAGGAACAATTGTTTGATAATTTAGAAAAACAGCGCGCAATCAGTAATGTCTGAAAATATGACTGTTAGAGTCAGTTACTCAGAGAAAATTAAAAATAATCTTTCATTTTATCACCAGATTTTTTTCAACCTAGAATTTTCCGTTTCAAACTTTCCATCACCTCAAACCAGGTTTGAGAGTCACATGTCTTTTTATTTAGACACAGGTGACGTAGAATGTATGCTCATGTAAACGACTTATTCCCAAGCTCTTATTGTATTTGTATTGGTTTCACATTTTATCAATCAATTAATTGTATTTATTATTATTTTATTGTTATTAATCTCATCTCTTCTCATGAATTGTTATTTATAAAGCACTTTTCAATCAAACAAATGCAACACGATGCGCTTTATATTTTGGTTAAAAACAATCTCAATACTACCCGACAGACCCACAAAGCACACACACACACACGCACACACACACACACCTACACGCACACACGTACACACACACGTACACACACACACACACACACACACCTACACACACACACACGTACACACACACACACATACAGTGCCATCACTTTGTGCATAATGTTTTACTTTGCGGGACTGGGTAGGGAATTACTAGCCTGGCTCCAGCCGACCTTTAGCCCCGCCTCCATGGAGTTTCTGCGGGCAGGTCGGTCTGGCATTCCTCAATGGAAAAACCATTATGCCCGGTACGATACATACCGGGCCAGTCAGAGTGACAGGGCGGGCTTCATGTGATGGTTATGTGTTAATCACATTGTAAATAAACACGACTTCATATATGAAACACTTGGCAATCGAGATTGTGGGTATAAAATAATAGGTAGAATTTTTTCTTTAACATGCGCTTACCTTTGTGATGCTTCTTCGCGGTTTTGCACCGGCTGCAGTTAAATGATTGGAACAGAACTTCTTCAGGGCTCTGGGCGACTTAGAAGGGCTCAGCTCCCGGTCTCTCTTCTCTGATGGTGACTCTGATGAGCATGCTTCTTCAGCCGGTTCTCCTTCTTCGTTTGTCCATGATTTGAACACGGGAATGTCGCGTTCCAGTCTTGTAATCAGGTTGTGACAGGACCGACAAATGCGCGTAGATTTCTCTGATGTCTTGTGAAGTTGTAATCCTAAATGGAGGACTTGTTCGTATATGGATTTACCTTTTTTATTTCTCTCAAAAATTAGTAACGTGTTGCTAAATACTCCGCGTATCTTCAAGTTCTTTTTGCAACACCGGCACAAGTCGTTTGCACTCATTTTACAGGCAGCATGCGAGAAGGTAAACAATAATAACGTCGCATAAATACGTCACACCTCGCTCTCATTGGTTGTTGGACTATCCAATAGAACGAAGGGGGATTGTGTTTCCTGTTTCAGTTCGAACACGCCCCCCATAATACTTTTTCCATTGAGGAATGCCAGACCGACCTGCCCGCAGAAACTCCATGGAGGCGGGGCTAAAGGTCGGCTGGAGCCAGGCTAGGGAATTACAGAAGGATGGTGAATATCTCTGACTTTTTTGATGCTCCCTCTGAGGAGTTTTTGTTCCAATGCACTAAGGAACAACTTATTGACATTGGAAAGAGATATGATCTGGATCTGGACATTAAACGATTAAAGGAATATTTGAGATCGATATTGGTGGCGAATTTGATTAACCTCGGTGTGTTGAAGGACAGGCCAGGGGCCACTATGTCTTCAGGTGCCACAGGTGAGGCCTCTGGTTCTGCTAATCCTGGTGCAGCGGTGACGCAAGCTCTCACTTATGAGCAGCAACTCAGATTGTTAGACTTACAATTTGAAATAGAGCGTGTGAAGTTAGAGCAGATTAAAAGGCGGCAGGAGGAGCCTCACTCCTCCACTCTGCAGTCTGTTGGCTCTGACGCTGCGTTTGATGTAGTTGGGAATTTCCGTTTGATACCAAAATTTTCGGAAAATGATCCGGATTCGTTTTTCCATATTTTTGAGCGCTTGGCTATAGCGCGGGGTTGGAACAATTCGGAGCGCACAATGCTTTTACAGTGTGTTTTGGTGGGCCGCGCTCAAGAGGCCTTGTCTGTGCTGTCTGTGTCAGACAGTCAGGATTATGATTTGAAGACTCATTTTTCTCGCTGGTGTGCAGCATCCAAAGTCACCGATTTTGAGAGGTTGAGTGAGTTAATTTTTTTGGAGCAATTGAAAAATTCTATGCCAAAACCTGTGGCGACTTATATTTGTGAGCAGAAGGCTGAAACTGCAAGTTCAGCAGCTGCGCTTGAAGATGATTATGTTTTAATTCACAGAGGACCGGTCGATGATGTCACGCGTGGTCCTGATTGCATGCAGGTGTCTGTCAATCAGCGAGATGGGAGTGAAATGTGTAATTATTGTCACGAGGAGGGCCATTGGAAGGCTGAATGTCCGGTGTTGAGGTCCAGGAGTAACATGTCCAGTTCATATGTTAAGCCTGCTGCGTTCGCGGCTCCAGTTCATTGTGGGTCTGGGGTGTTTGCATCTTATTCACCGTTCATTCGCGAGGGCTCTGTATCTCTGCCTGGGAGAGATAAAGTCCCAGTTAAAATCCTGCGGGATACAGGGGCGTATGACTCGTTCGTGGTCGGTTCAGTGTTGCCTTTCTCCGCAGAGACCGCTACGGGAGACTTCGTATTGAGCCGTGGCATGGGCATGGCCGTGTTTCCTATTCAGTTGCACAGGATGTGTCTGGAGTGTGAGCTTCTGCGAGGGGAGGTCGCTGTCGGTGTGCGTCCAGCGTTGCCCATAGATGGGATTCATATTATTTTGGGAAATGGGTTGGTTGGTGGTCGTGTCTGGGCTGACACAGACTCTGGTGGTGGGGAGACTGTGGATGTTGTCGTTGGGGAGGTGCCAGCTAACCCACTTGTGGGTACATTGGGTCCTACTGTTCCTACGTGCACTGTGTCGTTGCAGCCAGACGTGTTCATGCCTGCGCGGTGACGCGGGCCAGTCATGGTGCAGAGTTACAGTAGATGTGGCTGACGCAGGGTTAGTTCAAGCGTGTGAGGATGCTGACACTGTGGTGAGGTCCTTTGATGTGTCTGTGTCGGAGGCACACATAGAGAGTTGGCCAAAGGAGTATTTTATTAAGGATTATGTGCGCCCTGTTCGGGCTGTTGCCGCTCTTTCTGTGCAGGAACCTGAGGATGGAGTGCTGGGGGCTCAGTGCAAGTCTTCCTCTTCTTCCCCTTTGGGCTCCGGAGCTGTGGAGCCTGGAGGAGGCTGCGAAGTGGGCGCGGTCTTCTGGGTGGTGTTCATTTTGCACTCGTTGTTGTGCGCTAGTTTGAACGAAAATTCTTTGGGGAGAATTCTCGTGTTTATGGGGGGGGGGTGTTACGGCCACTGACGGGCCGTATATCCTCCTCTCTCCGGTGAAAGCTGTGCTCATTGGTGCGCGTGCGTGACACGCGGAGCCGCGCCTTTAAAGCTTGTGCACATGCCAGAGATGGGGCTTGGCTCATCCTGCTCCCATCTTGACACCTGCGTGTCCCGCCTCCTTTTGTATGGTTTTGGTTTGGTTTGGTTTGGTTGCTTGGTTCGTTCGTCTTGGTTCGTTTTGGTTTATTTTCTACACACCATTCAACACTGCAGACATACGCTCACAGCACATACACTAACACGCACTCATTACAGACTTCCACACCTCATTAAAATATTAACTTTGCTTATTAATAAATATTATTTCAATTGGCAACTGTTGTTTGGCGTGTTTCTGTCATTTCTATTGAGCCGGGTTATGACACTGGCAAACTTACATATTTAAATGTGTTGATTTTTATCTCTTAAGTGTGCAGTACTTTGGAAACTTCTTTAAAAAATGTGCTATACCAATAAAGTGGATTGGATCAGATAAAATAAAGTAGATACACTGTAAAACCAGGACTAGAGATGGATGCAGATGAAACCAGCTGAAGAAGCGTCATCTAAGGAGCCGTCTGCACCAGGAGTTTTACGATGAATGACATAAATAAATACATTTTTGAACATTATTCTAGTATTCTGAGTTTCACCTCCACTACAGTATATGAAGGATTGGAATATATATATCTTGTATCATCTCGTTATCAATTATAATCAACCCCCGTAGCACCCTCGGCAACAAATATGCAAGAGAAAGTTTGAAGGTTATGGCGTAAAAGACTGACTTTTTGGTTGGAATCCGCTACATTGCCAAATTTGGTCATTGAATGCTGTTTTTTTTTTTTCAACAAATATTTTTTATGTCTGGGTTCTACGAGGTTAAAAAGACAAGCTTCTCACTTCTCTCCCAGATCTATCCCCGATTCAAACACACATTCTCATGGACTTACTCCAGGACGACAGCGCGCAGAGAGAGGCCAGTTGCAGGCTGCCGAACAGAAGTTTCATCTTGGCTTCTTTCTTGTTTCTTTTCTTGTTTCTTGGTTCACATCCTCTGCCTCTCGCCTCTTCAACTTCTGTGCGAGAGATGGACTTCTCTGGCGTCTGAACCATGAGCATTGGTCGGTGCAGAAGTGAGAAAACCGCAATAGTCTATTCCTTCCTGTTCTGGGGGTGAAAGGCGTGAGCTGAGATGAAGGGAGCAGAGATTCTCACAGGCTACGGTTGTGAAAGAGTCTGAAATGTCATAATTCTGACTCTGTTTGAGGATGTAGCATTAAGTCTTGTGCATTGGGGGTTGAACTAGCAGAAGATAAGGTATTTGGTGTTGGGACAGGGGTTCAGGCTGTACACAGACACCACATGCATTTACATACACCACAGTAGACCTTAAATAGACCAAAATACACATAGAGCACCATCAGAGACCTCTAGGACCAGAGATATACAGAGAGTGCCCCGCAATCATTCCTCTCGGAGTCGAGGCAGTGGCTGTACCACCTCAGGAACCTCTCAGCCAGACTACACAAGAACCTAGTCTAGAACCATCTGCCACGGTGGAAATAGATATGTCAGCTTCAACCTTCAGACCTAGCCTGGCCTTAGCTATCCGTAAACTCTGGACCACGATCATTTCCTAGATGTACGTCTGGTCCAACCATGTGTAAACTCTGGACCACGATCATTTCCTACATGTACGTCTGGTCTTACCATGTGTAAACTCTGGTCCATGATCATCTTCTACATGTATGCCTGGGTCTGATTCTAGTAACTGCAGTTTCTTTGGTTGAATCCCCTCCGACCAATCAGAGAGCGGGGGAGGCGGGTAATGTAGTCGGTGTCAGTGACGCCAAGAGTTTGTGCTGAATTTTCTGGTTGTAGTTTGGCGGAGGATGCAATAGTAAGATAATCTGTTCTGGTTCAAACCAAACATCAACCGGAGCAAGAGGAATGTTTAGTAAATGTCATTGCTGCAAAGATGTTGTGGTTCTACTCCCCACGGGCTCCGTTAGTGGCAAAGGAGATGACTATAGCTAGGCTAAATGCTAAAGCTACGCTAAATGCCTCACTCACTCGGGCTCATTGCATACGTCACGGTAAACTCAGATCCAATCGTTTCAATCTGCAAAAGGAGTTAACCCCTTCCACCTGTTAACCAAGTCAATGGAGCAAACCCAGACCTTAGTACGAAAGGAAATCAGTACGATGGTGGGGAAGTGACAGTAGCTCAGTTGGTAGAGCATTGGCCTTTGAGCCTGAAGGAGCCCACCATAAGACCTACTTCATGACTCCCACTGATGACTGCTGTCGTTGTGTCCTTGGGCAAGTCACTTAACCCCACTTTGCCTGAAGCCCCCGCTGAAAGATCTCAGCTCCTGTGGACTCAGCACCTGCAGGAGGATCAGTGACCCACTAAGCAAGCCGACGTTGAATCAACGTAATTTGAACGTCGTTGTCCGACGTAGAATATAGGTCACTGGTGGGTGCAGAATGAAAGTTTTCTCGACGTTGTTTCCCGACGTCACCTCAACCTCCAAATGTTACGTTGATGGCACGTCAATTCAAGGTTTGAATGTGGTACGGAACCGGTCGGGTCTGACGTCCTATCAACGTCTCATATGACCAAAATATTGACGTTTATATGACGTTCGTTTTCAGTCGTTCCCACTAAGCAAGCAGATGTCAAAACAACGTAATTCCAACGTCATCTGGACGTTCATTCAAGGTTGCAATGTGGTACAGAACCGGTCGGGTCCGACGTCCTATCAACGTCTTATATGACCAAAATATTGCCTTCATATGACGTTCGTTTTCCGTTGTTCCCACTAAGCAAGCAGATGTCAAAACTATGTCATTTCAACGTCATCTGGACGTTATCTGGACGTTCAAATGACGTCGCGGCCACTTCATTCAAGGTTGCAATGTGGTACAGAACCGGTCGGGTCCGACGTCCTCTCGACGTCTTATATGACCAAAATATTGACGTTTATATGACGTCCATTAACAGTCCTATTGACCTACTTAACCTCTGCAGAATCACTCACTGGTCGAGACATACTTTTTGCAATAGGCAAGGCAAGTTTATTTGTATAGCACAGTCAAAACAAAAGGAAACTCAAAGCACTGAACAAAAGATAGAAACAATCAAACAAGGCATTACAATTATAAATATTGACAGTAAATTAAAAAGATACAAATAAAATCTCTCATAAAATCTCTCAGTTGAAGCAGAAACAGAAGTGTTTTAAACCTGGATTTTAACATTGTCAAAGAAGAAGCCTGTCTCACATTTCCAGGAAGACCGTTCCAGATTTTAGCCTTGTGAATCTGAAATGCAGCTTTATCATGTTTAGTTCTGACTCTGGGCAATAAACGATAAACACAGCATTCAAAAATCATTAGAACAACTGTAGTAGAAGGCAAATGGAGCTGCATTAAAAATCATGTTTCTCTACATCAAAGTACAAGTTAAAGCACACAGGGCACAGTGTTATGAACACTACTGTACTGAACACTACTGTACTGAACAGTTCATGCCAAAGTAAAAAAACATGATTGTAGCGCCTATGTTTGGATCAGTATTAAAACAGGCACAAGCTACACTCTAGGTTCCCCAGATGTAAAAACACAATCTGAAAGGCAGAAGAATGCATTTATTGAATGTTGAGGTGTTCCAACATGTGTCCTCTCTTGGTCTTCAGTCTCTCATCACAAGGTCCAAGCACAGCACCTGAAAATGTGGAACATGTTTAGTTTCAACATAATGTGGCAAAGTGATATAACAACACATAACTTTCTATTAATGCCTCAAACCACTCGATCCATCACCATGTGATACAAACCTTGGCACTGCACTAGCTCGAGACACTGGAAGACACTCCGTCTGAGAAACTTGGGATAAGGCTTTGGTCATTGGAGTAATTCCATGTAAAAAACAATTGCAAATGTGCATTTGTTTTGCACATGGACAAATGAGCCCTGAAAGATACTTACCCTGTATTACTCTACACATGTTGCATTTCCGAGGGGGCATTTTCCCCTTGTTGCTCTTTTCCCTCATCTTGAGTGAGTTGCTGAACAATCTGAGAAAAAGATAGATGTTTTCAAAGAGAATACACCAAATAATGGTTTATTCTAAAAACAACATAATAATACAGAAGAACAATCAATGTGTGAGAGTGTGATTCTTACCTTTGAACACCTTCAACATAGTCTGACACCTGTAAGACTCAAACACACATGACACATTAGGAATACACACAGAACATTAGTTATTGCAACAATCATGAAATTATACTCTATGGATTTCACAATAATTGACTGCATTAGCAAAGGTAAATGTATTTTAATTAACATATGGCTGGTTTTAAAGTTTATAAGAAAAAGTAAGAAATTGAATAGAGTTGCAAGCGCTAGTTAGCTTGCTACCAGCAGATGAATGGATATTTAATATTTGCAGCTAACAATAACAAAAATAACAACTGTAGTGGCTCATTTAAACAGCCCCAGTGAGAAGAAGTGAAAGTCTCTGACATTGAAGACCTGGGAAGACATTAAATCCATTTATTAAACAAAGCAATACATGAACATTAAACTCTCTTTCTGCAGCAGGTAACATCTGTGTGCTCCTATGGTCCCACATCAGGGACGTGCGGTGAGGTTTGTGATTGGGGAGGCACTGACTTTAAAAGTCAGATTTACAATCATTATTCAAATAAAATAGCATTTAATCACCAATGCAATGACATCCACAAACTTTATATACTGTAAAGATAAGAGAACCAGCTTCTTTTAATAATCTCACAACAAATCTAGCTGCTGACTCTGCTCCGCATCAAACAACATCTTTAAGAAGCGCAGGTGCGAGAGACGCGAGGAGAGAGAGACGCGAGGAGAGAGGAGCAGAGAGAGACAGAGAGGAGCAGAGAGACGGAGACGCGAGGAGCAGAGAGAGACGGAGACGCGAGGAGAGAGAGACGCGAGGAGAGAGGAGCAGAGAGAGACAGAGAGGAGCAGAGAGACGGAGACGCGAGGAGCAGAGAGAGACGGAGACGCGAGGAGAGAGACGCGAGGAGAGAGAGACGCGAGGAGAGAGGAGCAGAGAGAGACGGAGACGCGAGGAGCAGAGAGACGGAGACGCGAGGAGAGAGAGACGCGAGGAGAGAGGAGCAGAGAGAGACAGAGAGGAGCAGAGAGACGGAGACGCGAGGAGCAGAGAGAGACGGAGACGCGAGGAGAGAGAGACGCGAGGAGAGAGAGACGCGAGGAGAGAGGAGCAGAGAGAGACAGAGAGGAGCAGAGAGACGGAGACGCGAGGAGCAGAGAGAGACGGAGACGCGAGGAGAGAGAGACGCGAGGAGAGAGGAGCAGAGAGAGACAGAGAGGAGCAGAGAGACGGAGACGCGAGGAGAGAGAGACGCGAGGAGAGAGGAGCAGAGAGAGACAGAGAGGAGCAGAGAGACGGAGACGCGAGGAGCAGAGAGAGACGGAGACGCGAGGAGAGAGAGACGCGAGGAGAGAGGAGCAGAGAGAGACAGAGAGGAGCAGAGAGACGGAGACGCGAGGAGCAGAGAGAGACGGAGACGCGAGGAGAGAGAGACGCGAGGAGAGAGGAGCAGAGAGAGACAGAGAGGAGCAGAGAGACGGAGACGCGAGGAGCAGAGAGAGACGGAGACGCGAGGAGAGAGAGACGCGAGGAGAGAGGAGCAGAGAGAGACAGAGAGGAGCAGAGAGACGGAGACGCGAGGAGCAGAGAGAGACGGAGACGCGAGGAGAGAGAGACGCGAGGAACATAAACAATAAGTTAAACAAGTTGCAGAACTCTTGAGCAGTGTTTGAATCAGTGTTTTTCGGAAAAGCACTACTTTGCCGGTATCTGTCAATGTTCAACATAAAACACAGATTAACAAACTCCTCCCCGCAGCCGGACTAACCTCGTAAGTCCAGTGGTGGTCTCCCAGTCTATATTAATTCTTTCTTTGTTTGAAAGTCCAATTGAGAAAAAAAATCTTCATTCAAATCATCCATTTTCCAGCAAAAGAAATAGCATTTTGGGCTGATTGTTTGTTAGCAACTCTGGTATGAACTTTATGCTCACTATCACCCCTAGCGGTGAGGCA